TATCGCTGGCTAAAAGTAAAGTTTCAGAACTCTCACCAGACTTTTCAGCAGTATTTTCAGCAATGTTTGCTTGATTTCCACGGTTGTTGTCCTCATTATACCAACAATCTGCAATCTTGTGCCCATACTTGCCACAATTGTAGCAATGAAATGGAAATTTACCTTGTTTGGTATTACCTCCACCTCTTCCTTGGTTGGAGTTACCACGTCCTCCTCCTTGGTTGAAGTTACCACGACCTCTTCCACCAGAACCTCCTCTTCCTCTTCCACGACCTCTACCAGATCCTCCACCTCTTTGATTAGTGCCAGTCACATTAAGGGTGACTTGACTCTTCAAAGCTTCTTCTGCTAGTGGTTCCGATTTTGACGAAATCCTGTCAATATGACTTTCTACCATACCTTTCAGCTCTGCAATTGATAAGAGCTCAGTTTTGTGTGACTCTGTGATCGAAGCCACCACATGGTCATACTTCATCGGCATAGTTCGAAGAACTTTTTCAACCACTGCACCATCTTCAATCGTATCTCCATATAGCCTAATCTTATTCACCATATCAATAAGACGAGTGAAATACGCATCTACTGTTTCTGTAGAGGCCATCTCACAATTATCGTACAACCTTCTCAACGACTGCAACTTAGACTTCTGTGCCCAATCGACTCCTTTGTGTGACACCTTTAAGATGTCCCAAGCTTGTTTTGCTGTTTGAGCACGAGCTAATTGCCCAAAAATGGAATAATGAACACCTTGGTGAATCTGACCCAAGGCCAATTTATCTCGCCGTATAGCGGCTGCATCAGCTCCTTCGGGTAGACCGGGATCAACAAAGCTCCAAAGATTTTGAGCTTGCAAATGTGTGGACATCATAATTTGCCAATAATTGTAATCGAGTTTCCTGTCCAATTTGGGACCCGACCATACAATATTGAAATTTGTTGCCATATTTCACTACGGGAAATATTTCGGGGTTGAAAGGTTGAATTGATTGGCTTCTGATACCAAATGTAAGATATATTAAATATAATATATATTATATATAATATATCTATGTATTTATATATAATAATATATAAATAGGAAGAGAGAGAGAAGAATAGATAATTTTATTGATGATAAAAGCTTGAATACAAAGACTATTTATACTAGATAAGATAACTAAAATTAAGGAATTAATGCTCCATGTAAAGCTAACATCATGGTCATGTACTGCACCTATAATTACTCCCATTATTTTTAACCAATTAACTAACTACTTGGTTTAATATTACTAATAATAATAATAATATTATTATTATTATTATTATAACATACTTGACAACCTAAAAACCCACAAAAAACCTCAACAAATTAGAATCTATTGATAACAACTAGCTAGGTGGCCAGACAAAATTGTGATCATGTGATTCCATTTCTGGTACCAAAAGCAGTGAATCAAAAGCCCTTACATTATCATCACACGAAAGATGATGTTATATATGTTTTAAACCAACTCAAGATATATTTCTTATGCATATATACATCTTTATTAATTGAACATCATGAAAGTATGTGAAATATGATTAATAAATAAGGCTTTTTAAGGTATCACAATAAGTCATATAGGAAAGTTATGCCTTTAAGATAATTCGAACAGCCAAATTTAGGTTTGGTAAACAAAATGAATGCACCCTTGTCACTACTTTTGCCTCACTAACAATGTCCAAGATTCATGTGAAGTGATCCGGCCTGATCATGTTTAAAGTTACGTCACCTTTTTTTTTTTCATTTTACTTTTTCACCCGATTTTTTTGGATGACAAGAAAAACCGCAATCATTATCCAATAGCGTGCAATGGAATAAACCCTATTTTGTGATCCTAACTATCAAAGAACCACAAAAAAATACACTAGCTTGGGTATCTCAAAACTGACTAGGTCAAACCAAGAAGGACAATAGACCATTCTTACTGAGAGTCAAACTTGAAACATGTGGTTACCAAGCCAACATACACTCCGACCAACTTTACCCTGTTTTCTACCAGTATACATTATATTTTATATTCTCGTGATGCATTAATATATTCTTTATTTTATATGGAAAAGAAAATAATAAAACCAAAGAAAACATCATATTTTTAACAAATTAAAATTTGTTGATGTGCTTCCTTCCACTCAAAGAAAGACCAAATTAAAGAAAACAAAATATCCCATAAAAGAGGCAGCAATGTATGGTCGGATCGGAACGGCTGTCCGTGAACGGTATTTTAGTTCACAGAGAACACAAAAACATATAATTTCACCCACCCCACTTTCTAAAAGAATCTCTTTTTTTTTACCATATATTGATTCTCCCACCCACTTTCAACCTTTGAGAGTCATTTCGATTTGTAAGTGATATCGTTATAAAGTTTGACGGTGTTTGATGTATGATTAATAATTTATTACACATATTTATTATTTAAAAAAATATATCAATATTTTTGTTGCTAATGCGATCAATTTTTTGTAATTTATGTGTTCTTGAAAATCCCGCTAATATTGAACTAAAATGTTGATTCTAGCTTGCTTATATTCAGTTACCTATTAGTTGGGAGATAATCTTTCAGCCAAGTTGATCGAATAGTTGACTTGAAATAAAAGAAAAATTTTAATTTTGAAATATTCATAATTCTCTAGAAAGTAATATCTGTTCTATACCCCAAAAAGTCTAAGACTCCAGCCTCCGTTTCTTGAGTTCAAACTTATAACCATCCATTTAGAATGGTAACCGAGATATCATCACACTACATGGTAGTTTGGTATTTTTATTATAATTAATTCGAAATTTAAGATGCAATTATAATTGACTTATCGTAAGCCATACAGTACAAAAACCACACCTTAATCACAAAAATCACGCACCTTGGGAATGAAAATCACGCACCTTAAATTTGATCTAGATGCAAAATGACCAAATTGCCATGAGGTCTTTTATTCATTATATTGTTAATCATGTACATTGATTTAGGCAAGATCAATAGCTCAGATTTAACCGCACAATCGCACGGGAGACAACACACTGCACGGGAACTGAATTATATATATATATATATATATATATATATATATATATATATATATATATATATATATATATATATATATATATATATTGGTTCCTGTGAGAACAGGTCTTCCCGTGCGGTCAGTGCGGCATACACCATTAGGTATGTATAAATGCACCATACAGTGTTCGAGAATACACAATAATGAAATGCCAAAAAATGCACCACACATAATGGTGTATTTTCGAACACTGTGTAGTGCATTTATGCATACCTAATGGTGTATGTCGCACTGAGCACACGAGAATTCTCACAAAAACCTGACTATATATATATATAGGGTCTGGTTTATGTGCGAATGTGAATATGCATTATATGAATGCACAATAATAACTACTCCAACTCCGTAATTACTACATGAATGTATTGCACCTACTACATCAGAACTACTACATGCACAGAAAGCACAAGTGTATCCTCTAGACATACTTAGCCGTAGTCATTGTGCATTTATGTATAACTTACTTACCATGTATGCCTTCAAGTCTCACCGGAACTACTACATACACTGAAAACACAGCGCGTCCTCTAGGCATACCTAAGACTAGTTATTGTGCATTAATGTATAAATTAAGAGTTAATTCCATTTTGGATCCTAGATTTATAGGCGATAATCCACTTTTAGTCGTTTTTTATTTGAACATCCTCATTTGGTCATAATATTACTGTAGTATGACAATTTTTAGTCCTCCATCAACAAAATCTTTGAAATATCGTTAAATACAAAGACATTTCAATCTTTTTTATACAAAGTAGGTTTAACCGCTATATTCTTTATGTTTATTTTTTAAAAAACATCCATAATTAAAGACCAAAATGTCCGATATTTAAACTATTTTGTTGATAAATGACAAAAAATTGTCCTACCATAATAATATACTAAGTTAAAAAAGAAATATTTTAATAAAAAAGACTTAAAATGAACTGTCACCTATCAATCTAGGACAAAAATGAAATTAATTCCAAAACTTAATAATGGTGTATATTCATTCAAAAGTTCATAGGTTCGCAGGTTGGTTCGAAATATATATATATATATATATATATATATATATATATATATATGTGTGTGTGTGTGTGTGTGTGTGTGTGTGTGTGTGTGTGTGTGTGTGTGTGTACTACACACACACACACACACACATATATATATATATATATATATATGGGCGGACCCAGCATGGGGGCAATGGGGGCAGCTGCCCTCTTCACCCCACCCCACCCCATATATAACCCTTGTATGTATATATAGTACAAGTTTTAGTATAAATATATTAAAATAGATAAATGTTAACAAAACATGACTAGATCAGGTGGCAAGGCGTGACTTAGGTTGCAAAGCCTGTGCATGTTGACTTATAATGTATTTTTTATTCGAATTATTTTATCAAATTAATTATGTTTCATATTTTGTTATGAATATTTTTTATAAAGTTTTGATGTTTTTTATTTTTCGTCCACATCCAACAATATTTATTGCTATACTTTTAAGTATTTTATTTTTTATCAAACTATCTCTTTTGTTTTAATGCGTATCGCCCCCACCGAAAAATATTTCTGGGTCCGCCACTATCTATATATATATATATATATATATATATATATATATATATATATAAAATAAAGTTCAAATGCGGCGGGGTCTTCCCGTGTGGCGGTGCAGCGGAATTCCAGAATACACCAACAATAAAAAAAAAGACTTAAAATGAACTCTCACCTATAAATCATCAAAAATGAAATTAACTCTAGAACTTAATTATGGTGTATATTCATTCAAAAGTTCATAGGTTCGCAGGTTGGTTCAAAGGAAACCATATACATATATATATTATATATATATATATATATATATATATATATATATATATACACGTAGTATATATTCACCACTCAAGATCCTTTTTCTCGTCTTTTCCACTAGAAAGCAGAAACCTTCCATGGAGACTAACAGAGAAACAACCGTCGGAAAAAACCATCATTCAAGCAACGCCGCCGGCAGCAAAAAGCCTCCAAGACTGTCCATGGAGACCCTCCGGAGAACAATCTCCGACATGTCGTTCGAACTCACGTCACCGGAGCCGCCAGCCGCCGCCGGCACTCTTCCTCCAATACCAGAGGTGGCCGAGGAGGCCAAGTGCGAGTGCTGCGGGATGTCGGAAGAGTGCACGGCGGAGTACGTGAGGCGGGTGAGGGAAAGGTTCGCCGGAAAGATGGTGTGCGGGCTGTGCTCGGAGGCGGTGAAGGAGGAGATGGAGAAGAACGGCGGGAAGAGAGAGGAGGCGGTTCAAGAGCACATGAATGCTTGTGTGAGGTTCAATAGGGTTGGTAGAGCTTTCCCTGTGCTGTGCCAAGCTAAAGCCATGAGAGAGTTGTTGAAGAATAGCAGAGGTAAGTCCCTTAGCCCTAGAGATCCAAAGTCTCACAAAGGTGGCATTGCCAGGAGTTCAAGTTGTATCCCAGCCATTATTGCCAAGGATTATCTTCAAAATTAGACTGAGGTTTAATTTTGATCTCTTCACTAATTGTGTTTTTCTATGTTTGGTCTAAATCCGGATCTAAATTTAGTGTTTTAACTATTAAGAATGTACTACTTTTAGAGTAGGGTTACTACCCGCTGGGATCCAAGTAAATATAGTGACACCGTCATGTTCAGTCATAAAATTTTAATTGAACCACTCTTAGTCGTCCTTCAATTTTCAAACTTAACTACACTTGGTTCTTTAACTTTCAAATTAAGAGCATTCCCAAAGTTGGAGTTTTTGTAGGTGTGACAAGGAAATAGAAGATGAGAGTGAAGAGAAAAAGAAAAAAAAAAAAAAAAAAAAAAAGAAAGTTTCACAAAAAATAAAAATAAAACAAAAGCTTTCAGGCGCCCGCGGCCATTTCTCCAAGCGAGCCCACATGCTCAGTGCATCCAAAAACCTCTCCCCTCACAAAGACTCAAAAACTTCTCTCTCCTCTTTCTCAACCACATCAACCTTCCTTCCTCAAAAATCACACCAAGAACTTCTAATGGGGATGCCATAACCACCCATCGTCTTTCAAGTTTCAAATTTTAAGCCAGATTCTAACTTCGCCCTTACTTAAACTAACGGAAGGACCACAATTGCTTAAATTTGAAAGTTACAAGACCTTGGGTGGTTAAATTGAAAATTTAGGACACAGCGTTGCGCTGTCACTATATTCGGAGGACCCGAACAGGTATTAACTCTTTAGAGTGTTAGTCTTTGATTAGTATGGTGTTCAATACGAAAATATCAAATACTGGAAGATCGATCAAATGTAATTGCGTTCTACTATGCGTACTCTCAAATTTTACTCTCTTACTTGTACTTCCTGAGGTGGCAAACAAGGATTGGTTATTTTCATCATGTGGGTCCACAGAAAAATGTCTACATACAAAAATATGTGAAAGAGAGTACAAATTAAATATATAAAATGGAAATACACCAAGTATTTTTCAATCTAATTAGTCTTAGATTGGTAAAAATGTGATAGTCGAGAGATCAAAGTTGAAGTCAACTCATACTTTACCTACAGATATCAGAGCGAAATGAAATTGTAATGTAAGGTCATTAGCACGTTTCTTTTTCTTGCGTTTTTTATAAACTAGTTACCACACGTGCAATGTACGAATAGTTCAATACCAAATGTCTATTTTGAAATTAGTATTTCAGAATGTTATTAAAGTATCATTCAGTATTCTGACATATATCAATGCATTATCAAATTTTTCATAAAAATAAATATTTTGAATGCATAACTCTGACCTGTGACATAATTTTTTTATAAAATAATTAGTGCAATAACAATTTTAGATGGAATTGAAATACCCTCACTGGATATTACCCAAGCATAATTTTTACCAACTTTTAATAATAAACATTTACTATTATATCATTTCAACAAACAATTACACCAACATCTTTTAGAAGCTATGGAATCATGATTAAAAATCGTTACAAGATAATATAAAGATTGAAATGACTATTCTAATCATTATTTCATCTATATATTAAATTTGGTATGTTTAATTCATTCCATTGGAATAATATAGTTAAAAAAAAAAAAATTGACATGTTTACTACCTAGCTTATTTTCATTCATTTACTTGATCTTCATCCTATTGAGCATTAACAGCTTTAATTAATTCTGTTAATTATGATTATGTTTTGTAATTATTAATTGTGAATAATTCATAATCTATTTCTAAGTTATTTAATTTATAGGCTCAAATAAGGTAAAGAGTGGTGCAGAATCCATCATATCATATTCCATAATCATTGCCATAATGTAGAAAGTCAATTATTTATTAATTTTTATAAATAAAAAAGAGATATTTGGAGTAGACATTTGACTTTAGGCTAGATGATCTCAATAGGGACAGATCCAAAAGATTATTTGAGTAGGAAGGAAATTCAAATGATTCAAAAAATTCCATCTCAAAGTATCAAACACGAATAATATAGTTTAATTTTAAGTATAAAATGTATTATAAATTACAATACAATAATATTGGGAAAATGGCGAGTTTGGTCCCTGAGTTATAATGGTAGTGACGACTCAGTCCTTGAGTTATGACCGTATCCATTTTTAGTCCCTCAGTTATAAGTGAAGTGGCGCATTTGGTACCGGCCGTTAAAACTGACGAAAAAATTAAAAAAATATTTAAAATTTTAAAAGTAAAGTAGGAAATTCACATTTTATTCACTTTCTTATATTGAAACCACTTTTGCAATATTATTTTTAACTTCTTAGCATTTGTTAGTAACATGAGTCTCGTATAAGGAACCTGTGAGTAAGTAAAAACAAGAAAACACTTGATCATTGTCTTCAAGCATGTAAAACACACTATCCTAAAATTAAGTTTCTGATTTCCCTTACTAAACATAGTGGTAATCAAACCATAACTTTTGAAATACAAGAAGATATCAAATTTCTCGGGTTATTTTTATGACAAATTCACCAAGGGAATAACTTGAGATTTTTAGTACGTAAAATTCTTTCGTAAGCTCTACAGTAACTTAATCAAGAATCATATATCCTGACAATATATGAAGCAATATGAGAAATTTGACATCATTTTATATCTCAAAAGTTATGATTTGATTACCTTTGTTGCTTAGTAAAGAAAATTGAAAATTGATAGGATAGTGTGTTTCACACGTATGAAGACAGTGATTAAGTGTTTCTTTGTTTGTTCTAAGTCTTAAGTTTGTTATACGAGAACTAGGTTCCTAACAAGTCATACTAAAGTTATTGAAATGCTTTTAGAACTGAACAATCTTGAAATAAGAGGGGCTATGAAATGAAAAATAATGGTGTGAAAGTGGTTTGGATATAAGAAGGATAATAAAATGTGAATTTCCTACTTTACTCCTCAAATTTTAAATATTTTTAAAATTTTCCGTCATTTTAACAGTCAGTAACCAAATGCGCCACTTCGTTCATAACTGAGGGACTAAAAATGGGTACGGTCATAACTTAGGGACTGAGTCAGAACTTAGGTATAACTCAGGGACCAAAGATGCAATTTTCCCTACAATATTTATGTTGAACTATGAGAGTACTCCTTTACACTTGGTTGCAGTACAAAACGACAAACACATACACAGAATATTCCAGGGTATCGATCCATAGGGAATTTGGAGTATTAAGCACTAGCTACTAATTTATTCATGAGAAGCTAATTTTATCGTCAAAAACTTTTTTTACGATCATATAATTAAACAATTAAGAAAATTAAGAAAAACAAATTGTACCAAGACTATGTGGTCTAATGGTATCCGGGTTAGACTTTTATTTGGAAGGTTGTGAGTTCAAGCCTTAGTGGAGGCGTTATTGGTTCTTTGTGTTTCAGTAGGTTGAGAAAGTATATGAACAGATACTACATTGTAATAGAGCCAGTAACATTCAAAAAAAGAAAAACAAATTGTAAAGTGTTTAATCACCTAGTATCAATCTAACGTGTTTAAACAAGTATAAAAGATTGGATACAAGGAGAAAAAATTCCATCCATTAATTATGATTATGATTTGTAATTATTAATTGTGATCGAACAATTCATAATCTATTTCTAAGTGGCTCAAATAAGGTAAATAGTAGTGCATGCACAATCCATCATATCATCATGCATATATATTCCATAATCATTGCCATGATGTAGAAAGTGATATTCATTTAATTTTTAGAGTTAATACTCAAAATGGTCCCTCGACTATGCCATAATTACTAATTTGGTTCTCAACTATCATTCTTACCCAATTAAGTCCTCAACTATGTAACTTTTACTCAATTTAGTCCTCAACTATACAATTCTTACCCAATTTAGTCCTCAACTATACAATTCTTACCCAATTTAGTCCTCTGTATTAATTTGACTTTTTGTTGACTGTCAAAAGTCGGGATAAAATTATAATTTTACAAGATTTCTCCTTCCTCTCCATTTAGCAGCGCCAAACCATGCAGCAATACACTCCGATCAGATTTCGATCGTCAAAAAATCGTTGGAAATCAAATTCATGGGTTATCCGATGCATAACCACTACTTCGATACTGACAGGTTTAGAACCCAACCGGAGCTTATTGCTACATGGTTTGGCGCTGCTAAATGAGGCGGAAGGAGAAAACTTGTAAAATTACAACTTTATTTCCACTTTTGACAGTCAACAAACAGTCAAATTGACAAAGGACTAAATTGGGTAAAAATTATATAGTTGAGGACTTAATTGGGTAAGAATGATAGTCGATGACCAAATTGGTAATTACGACATAGTCGAGAGACTATTTTGGGTATTAACTCTAACTAGTAGGTGCACCCGCGCGATGCGCGGCTATATATATAGTATGATATATATACAGTATAGAAAATAGAGTATTTGAACCAGAAAAAATTTGAAATGAAAAACTTGTAATTTTATTACACATGGATGAATTTAGTAATTTTATTAGACATTGTTGAAGACTTCACAATGTGATGCATGGCTACCTATATAGTACATAGAATATTACGTATAATATAATAAGAATGAGAAACATAGTATTTAAAAAAATACTAAATTTTAAATAATAAATTGTGGAATGTTATTATACATTATTGAAGACTTCGTTGTACACAAAATTTTTAGTCGTACTAAGACATGGTACATTTTCCCCGCAAATCAAAATTTTCAAACCCCTGGGGTTACTAACTCTTGAAACAGCTACGTACAATTGTCCATGGTTAAAGACAGGTTTTTTCAACAACAACCCCACTTTAGCAAGCGTTTGTCCTTGACTTTTGTTGATTGTCATGGCATAGGATAGTATCAACGGGAATTGCTTCCGTTGAAATTTGAAAGGCAATCTTGGATCTGACAGTGTAAGTGACATTCTAGGAATTAATACTCTTGTTCCTGCATTTGTACCGCACATGATCTTGCCTTCCAACACGTGATCAACTAACCTAGTAACAATAAACCTTGTACCGTTGCATAATCCTACTGTGTGATCAATATTTTTCAAGAGCATAATAGGTGACCCAACTTTCAATGTCAAAGCATGATTTGGTACTCCAGAACATCTCAGGCCATTCAAGAATTCGGGAGTGTGCAAATTTATTGATATGCCATATGACAACATTAGCGGGAATTGTTTTCTTTGGAACTTAAAGGCAATCTTGGATCAGAAGAGTGCGTAAGCCATTTAAAAATTCCGGTGTGTGCAAATCAGCAAGCATATCAACATTAGCATCGGATTTACATACTGAATCACAACTGATATATGTCCTTCCTTCAACAGTATTATGGTCATTCATGAATTCATTGATGGTATCTACAACATCCAATTTTTGAGCCAAAATCGCACGATCTCTTAGATATTTAGGATGTCTGTGGCCACTACGAAACGGAGGGAATGTGCTATCAACAATTGTAGCAATAGGATCCTCAACACACGTTAGTAAAAATTGTTCAAGAATATTTATCTCACTTGAATCACCAATGGTTTCATCACCTTTATTAGCAATCCACTTTGCAAATTCTTCAATCTCTTGAACTTCATTATCTGATTGCAAGGCCCTAAGCCTTAGATTTTTGGTTAGCCTAAATACTTTACAGCTTCTCCAAAGATAGAATGAATTTATACTTGCTCCAACAATATCTTGCCTCGTCCCCTTTGGAATTACTGGTAGAATTTGTCTGAAATCTTCACCTAACACCACGATTGGGAAGCTACTGCACCTCTGGGTGTCGCAAAGTTAAATATAATAGACAAACTGTTAGCAGTACTAAGAAATAAAATAAACATGAGATAATTATTAACTAATGATTAACATTGCAGTTGTATTACACATTACTAAAAACTTCTTTGTATACGAGATTTTAAGTCGTACTTACACATTGTACATTATCCCCACATATCAAAATTTTTAATCCTTTTGCATTACTTACCCTTGAAACTGCAACATACATTTAACCATGATAAAAGCTGGTATTCTAAAAAACAATCCAATATGTGATAGTACGTTTAGCCTTGAATTTTATTTATTGTCATGGCATATGATAGCAACTCTGAAAAGTGCTTTCTTGGCACAAGCTTTATTTATTTTATTTTATTTTTTCTAAATAATTCGGCCCAAAACCAACCCAGTAATGGAGCACATAACATGGGCAAATTATTGTGTGGACCACGGTCCACACAATGTTATGTGGACCATAACAAAAAGTACATTTTAATATATTAAATGTACATTATTGTTGTACTGTATGTACATTATACAATATAATGTACACTCAGTACAAAAATAATGTACATCCCCTGAATACAATGTACATTATTTTTATACTGAATGTACATTATTTTTGTATTGAATGTACATTATTTTACAGTATACAAAATATGGTCTATACAACTTGTGCGGACCATAATGATTGCATAACCTGAACCCAATAAAACCATTAATAAAATCTTTTCTCCTAACCCTAAGACCATCTTTAACCCTCTAGGAATATTTTCAGTATATTTTTACAACAAATTTTTTCTATCTTCAACCCATTACACCAAGTTTTATTTCTTTACTAAAATAATTTGTTTTTTTTTTTCATAAATTAAGACTTTGTATTATAACTTTAAATATAATTATAATGCAAATATTATTTTATTCCAAAATAATAAATCATAGAACATCTAATACATTTAATTTTCAGATGGGGTGACCATGAAGATTAGTACCTCTTCAGTATTGGTAATCTATTAAGTTTAACAAACAGTCAAATAATTTAATTAATTACACTTGCTTAAAACAGTTACACAATTGTTTGTTGTTGATTTTTTTTTCTATAATCAACTAGTATTTGCGCCCGTGCGATGCACGGAATAGATTTGTTGTAATATATTAAGAATATTTCGATCGATATATAATTATTTAAATTAGAACATCAAATATTATATAGTTCAATTGAATATACGGGTTGGATCATTTAAGTGTTTTTATATTATCATTGTATGAATTTAAGCAAATAATTGCTCAAATTAATAGCTAATGTGTAGATGTATGCATGTAGTGTTATAACTTTGGAGATTTTTTTTTTTTATCATTGTTTAGTATTTTTTTTTTTATAAATTATACAAATGTGTTCGTTCTCTAGCAACTCAGTTATATGAATGAATTGTTATCTTAATTCATTTGTATGGATGATATTTTTTTTTGTCTATACATATAACAATTTTGTCATTTAAAAATATAATATCAACGATTTTATTTACACATTGTTGAAACCTCTTTGTAGACGACATTGGTAGTAGCAATACAATCTTGTCCATCATCGTCTAGAGCTAACACCTTCAATTGATCAGGATGGGTGACTCGGTGAAAATATATAATGGTATAATATTAATCAATTAGCGATCCTTTTATATTTTAAATAAATTAGTAATATCATATTCATTTTCAGTCAATTATTCTTTTGTATTTTTAGTCAATTAGAATATTACATGGAGTGATATTTTTACCTAATTTGTGTTCCATTTTTAATTGAGGATGTATAATATTATTATTGAAATATTTCTGTTTCATTTGTAATTTACCTTTACTATTGTTTAAAATATGCACTTACTATTTATAATGTAGAATATTATTATTGAAATATTGGCGTTCAATTTTAGTTTCCCTTCCATTTTAATTAAAATGCAATGATCTAACCATTTATTTTTTTCATATTAGTCAATTATGAATAATTTTTTATTTGCAGTCAATTATTAATATTCATTTCCTTTTAAATTTTCAATCCATTAGTAATATCATATTTATTTTCATCCAATTACTTCTCTTTTATTTTTAGTCAATTAATCAATTAGCGAACTAAAATATCAAATGCAATGATATTTTTACCAAATTTTCGTTTCATTTTTAATTGATGATTTAGAATATTATTATTGAAATATTTTCATTTCATTTTTAATTTTCGCTACATTTTTAATTTACCTTTACTATTGTTTAAAATATGTCTTTAGTATTGATGATGTAGAATATTATTATTGAAGTATTTCCTTTTCATTTTTAATTTACCTTTACTTGATAGTGTAGAATATTATTATTGAAATATTTCCATTCTATTGTTTAAAATTGTGTAAAATTTATGACATACTCGTGATTTGATGTATTATACTGTGTAATATTATTGTGAAAAATTAAAATGCAATGATCTGACCATTTTTTTTCTGTTTTAGTCAATTATGAATATTTTCTTATTTTCAAACAATTGTTAATATTTATTTCCTTTTTCAATTAACCTAATGTTTGTTGCCAAGCACCTTGTGCTCAGATGGCATGTAGTGATGTGGGAAGTCATGAGATCGGGCCTTAGTGAAGGTGTTGGTTGAGAAAATATGTTTCAATATAGATACTTATTTATTTACCTAATTTACATTCCATTTTTAATTGATAATATAGAATATTATTGTGAAATATTTTTGTTCTTTTTTTTTCATCCTTTTTTTTTTTTAATTTACCTTTACTATTTACTATTGTTTGGGCGATAAATCAAGTAAATAGAATTTTGTTTTTAATTATATTATAGATTTTTTTTCTTTTTCTATTGTTTGGGTGTGAAAGTAAGGAAGAAGGATTTTCTTTTTAATAATGGTATAGATTGAGAATTTTTTTATATTTTCCTATTTAACTGAGTATTATTAGTATTAATCAGTGACTTTCGTTTCTTTTTCTATTTTTAGTGAATTAAGGATCCTTTTATATTTTTCTATTTTAATCCTAACTTTTAATTTTACTGATTATTATTAGTATTAATTATTTAGTGAATTCCATTTCATTTTCTATTTTTCGTAAATTATAAATCTTTTTTTTCAATTTTTTTTTGTAGGATTGTTTTTACTGTTATTTTTATTATGACCCCTTTTTAAAAAAAAAAATCTTTCATTTTCATTGAATTAAGAATCCTTTTTTATTTTCAATTTTACTGATTATTATTAGTATTAATCAGTAAATTTCGTTTATTTTTCCATTTTTAGTGAAGTAATGATCTTTTTTTTTTCTTCATATTTTACTGCTAATTTTCTGACTGATTATTATTACTATTAATTAATCAGTGAATTCCATTTCTTTTTTTATTTCTCATGAATTAAGAAACTTTTTTTATTATTCTAATTTTTGGTAGAATTTTTTTTTTTTTTTACTGTTATCCTATTATGACCTTTTTTTTTTCACACCCTTACGTTTCTTTTTTTTTTTATTTTTATTGAATTAAGACTCATTTTTTATTTTCCTATTTTACCAATTATTATTAGTCATAATCAGTAAATTCCGTTTATATTTTCATTTTTAGTGAATTAATGATCTTTTTTTACTGATTATTGTTAGTTTTAATTAATTAGTGAATCCCGTTTCCTTTTCTATTTTTTTGTGAATTAAGGATCTTTTTTTCTATTTTACTACTAACTTTTTTACTAATTATTATTAGTATTATTAATTGGTAATTTTTTTTTATTGTTTGGCGGGTAAGTAAGAAATGGAGGTTTTGTTTTTAAGAATAATATAGAATTTTAGTGAGTTAAGGATCCTTTTTATAGAATTCTCTTTCAATATTTAAATACATTAGCATAGTAATTACACGAAAGAAGGAAAGAAAAATTATTAGAATAATAGTATTTTCACCCGTTTGATGCACAGAATGGATTTGTTGTAATATATTTAAGAATATTTGGATCAATATATAATTATTTAAATTATAACATCAAATATTATATAGTGCAATTGAACATATGGTTTGGATTATTTATGTGTTTTGATGTTATCATTGCTTAAATTTGAGCAAATGATTGCTCAAATTAATAGCTAATGTGTAGATGTACGCATGCGGTGCTGTAATTTTGGAGATTTTATTTATCATTGTTTAGTTTTTTTTTTTTTTTTTTTTTATATAAATTAGTCAAATGTGCTCATTCTCAAGCAACTCAGTTATAGGAATGAATTACTATCTTAATTCATTTGTATGGAAGATATATATTTTTTTGTCTAGATATATAGCAAATTTGTCATTTAAAAAAAATGTCAACGATTGTATGTACACATTATTGAAACATCTTTCGACATTGGTAGTAGCAACACAATCTTGTCCATCATCGTCTATAGCTAACACCTTCAGTCCATCATGATGGGTGACTCGAGTGAAAATATATAATGGTAGAATATTAGTCAATTAGGGATTTTTTTATATTTTAAGTCAGTTTGTAATATCATATTCATTTTCAGCCAATTATTCTTTTTTATTTTTAATCAATTAGTCAATTAGAATATCATATGCAATGATATTTTTACCTAATTTTCGTTCGAGTTTTAATTGATTATGTATAATATTATTATTGAAATATTTCCGTTGCATTTTTAATTTTTTATTATTGTTTAAAATATGCCTTTATTATCTATGATGTAGAATATTATTGTTGAAATATTTCCGTTAAATTTTAGTTTCCATCAATTTTTAATTAAAATGCAATGACCTAAACATTTATTTTTTTCATATTAGTTAATTATAGATCATTTTTTATTTGCAGTCAACTATTAATATTTCATTTTATTTTATATTTTCAGTTAATTAGTAATATCATATTCATTTTCAGCAAATTATTCTTTTTTATTTTCAGTCAATTGGTCAATTAGCCAATTAGAATATCAGATGTAGTGATATTTTACCCAATTTTCGTTCCATTTTTAATTGATGATGTAGAATATTATTATTAAAATATTTCCGTTTCATTTTTAATTTTCATTGCATTTTTAATTTAACTTTATTATTGATTAGAATATGCCTTTATTATTGATGATGTAGAATATTGTTATTTAAATATTTCCTTTTCATTTTTAATTTACGTTTACTTGATGATGTAAAATATTATTATTGAAATATTTCTGTTCCATTTTTAAAATTGTGAAAGATTTATGACATAATTATGATTTGATGTACTATATTGTGTAATATTATTGTAAAAAATTAAAATGCAATAATTTGACCATTTTCCTTTTCCATTTTAGTCAATTATGGATCATTTTTTATTTTTAGTCAATTATAAATATTTATTTCCTTTTTTCAATTAACCTAATTTATGTTCCTTTTTTCATTTTTAATTTTCAGTCAATTATTAATATTCAGTTATTTTTTCAGTTTACCTAATTTCCATTCCATTTTTAACAGATGATGTAGAATATTATTGTGAAATATTTATGTTCTTTTTTTCCATTCTTTTTTTAAAATTTACCTTTACTATTTACTATTGTTTGGGTGGGAAATCAAGTAAATAGGATTTTGTTTTTAATTATAGTATAGATTGACTCATTTACGAATTGGTTCAATAAATCATAAATATTACCAATTGTTTGGTCACAAAATAAGCTTTATCTAATTATATCTATATTAAATTTTATATATATATATATATATATATATATATATATATATATATATATATATATATATAATTTAATAAATTAGAAATTATAAAAATAAAAAATGATTAAATTGTGTAAAGTATATCAGGGAATATTACGGATTATTTGCTTAGAGGAATTACTTACTGAAAAAAAATGTAGTGAATTATTTTATTAAAAGCAGCAAAAAATTGTGTATATAAATTAATAAATTAGTTGTATAAATTAAAAATGAAAAAACAGGAAATACATACTTAGAATTAGATTTCTAACTTATTTAATTTTCAGAATTTCGGAATAAATTTGTAATTGTATATAGTAAGGTAAGAATAATTCTTATGCAATATACGATTTGACAACTCAATTAATATTAAGATTCCGTGCAATGAACATGTATATTATCTTGTGTACTCATTTGAACGGTAATTTATTTTTATACAATAATTATGCATAATAAATTAATATTATGCTAATTAATAACTAATAAAATTTATTATTAATTTGACCATTAAAATTAGTCTGGATGGAAAAAAACATATATGAATTGATTCAATAAATCGTAAATATTACCAATTGTTTGGTTGGAAAATAATCATTATCAAATTAAAATTGATTAATTTGACAAATTATACTTAAGATAAATATTACAGATTATTTACTTATATAAAACTTTTATTGAATTATTATTTTATAATAAGGAGTGAAAAATTATATATATATATATATATATATATATATATATATATATATATATATATATATATATATATATATATATATATATATATACACACCACATTCGTTATTGGTTATATACCATATTATAGATTTACGTCCATATGAGAATATGAAAAGAATAAATGTACAACCTAATTAATACTATGCATTACATAATAAATATCATACCTAATATTACTATACATAATACCATACGTAATTATTATTTTTAATACCATGCATACAATTACCATACATACTTGAACTGGTTATCAATATAGATTTCTTAAATTGGTTATAAATCATATTATGATATTACGTCCATATGAAATAATATTAACATACATAAAATTACCATACATACTTGTTAATATTTAGATTTATTAAATTGGTTACAATTCATATTATGGTAAAATAATTCTTATGCAATATACAATTTGAAAACTCAATGAATATTAAGATTCCGTGCAATGAACATATATTCCATCATGTATACTCATTTGACCAAAAATATGAAGGTTGGTTCAATAAATCGTAAATATTACTAATTGTTTGGTTAGAGAATAATCTTTATCAAATAAAAATTAAAATAATTAAATCTCTATCATATTCATATGCTGTTGCTTTAGGCTTTTGTCAAGGAGCACTACTCATGATCCTCAACACATTGCCATGGCTCCAAATCCTTGTGTTACTCCTATTGGTGCTAGAAGGATCGTCACATCAGGAAAAAAAATATTAATAGTCCAAACCCATTCAATGATGTCCCCTCTCATGCAAATGACCTGCAGATCTAGTTGCTCAGAGTCCACTAATAATCAAATGGTCAGTTTTTTTTCTATCACTATGAATAGTGCATTATTTAATCCTGCCCAGAGTCCAATAATAAACAACTTTTAATGGATTGAGATAAGGTATTAGAGAAATACCTTTAAATGGGTTGAGCAAACTCGTCCAGATTGATGATGAAGAAGATGATATATATGATCAATATAATCATAGTTTATATAATATATGTAGATAGATTTTAAATTTCACCAATGGTATATATGATTTTCTATTCTTTATTAAAAAAAAAAAAAAAAAAGAGTTGAAAAAGGATACAGAGATTTACCAAAATGTGTAGGCGTAGTGCAACAACTCTTCTGGATACGCAGAGAATATGGGTCTTGTTCCTCATCTTCTTGAAGGTCCCTGTTCTCTACACCATTGCTATGCAGTTGCAGAGAATATCCCCTTAGGTTCTTTGTAACTTGGTACTGTTTGTATTGAAGAGAATGTGATGTATATATAGGTGTTTCGATATGATTAAGGGTAACATTTATGGTTTTTATTATATTACCAATTACCAATTACCAATTAAAATTAGAGTTACCATTTTACATTTGCTTACCAAAAAATTATATATAGATACTTAATTTATATTTGAAAAATATATTTACCTAATTTACTTTATATACAGTAATAAGTATGTCTACACATAAATGAATAATATATAATATATAATTTCAATATTTTGATAATTAATTAAATTAAAAAATTAAGATATTATATAAATGCCGTTAAATTTTGGGGGAAAATTTATATGGTTTTTATATTATTATTATTATTATTTTTATTTTATTATGCTTACATTATTTCATAAAATTTTTATTATACTTGAACAATAATATTTTCAATTATATTATAGAATATAATACCATACATAATATTACCAATTATGTAATATAACAATTAATAGATTTTATTTAATTTCCATTTGACATTTACTTACCAAATAAACTTTACTACAAAAGTTTTGGGGGGAAAATTTGTTAGAAGGATTTTACTTTTATATATATATAGATATAGATTAAGCATCGAATGAGATCATAATATGTTGTTTTGTCTTCTTCTTCTTTTTTTTTTTTTTTTTTTTTTTTTTTTTTTTTTTTTGTGCTCTATTTCTAACTTACTTGTGAATCCAGTAATTCTATTACTCCGATTCATAAAGAAAAATCCTTTATTTTTTTACAAAATAATTTAACTTTATTGTCAAACTTAAATATTTTTTAATATGAGCAACGGTTTTAAGAATATTAAATAATTCAACTCCACATGTGTGGTGTCATATATATAATGAAAAATGTGACATCATAATGCTTTAAGAATAGGATTTAAATATATAAAAAAAAATCAAACATCACATTATTCTCTTTATTAAAGTGAAATTTTTTTCAACAACAGAACTATAAAATTATGTTTCTTGAAGTTTTTAGTTGAGCCACCAAGATTCTTCAATAACAAACCAACATGTTATAAAGTTACTATTTTAATATTAAAATCTAACTCAATACAAAATTTGCCCAAATTTGAACTATTATGATATTAAATTATAACATTCCATTCATGAGATGCACTGCATAAAACTTAAATAATTTTATTATTGATCATATGTTAAAAATAATTAAATCAAGCATTAATCCTTAAAGTTCATTGTGAGTTAATCCTCAAAATTATACATTAATTTTATAATGTAAGAGTTCATTGTGAATTAATCCTCAAAATTATTCGTACATTAATTTTATAATATTAAAAATTGTGAGTATAGATAATACAGTACATGCTAATACTAATAATAATAATAAAAAAAAGCATATAATAATATTATTATTAATAATGACTATAACTCATCTGGAATTATAATATGTGTTATGCCATCACTGGAATTTTCTGAGATATAAATTTTCTGATCAACAATTACAAACTAATAGGAAAAATAATCGAATATCAAACTAATTAACCATACAATTTATTTTCACGTGGTTCAAATCAACCGTAACATAATAAAATAATTTAAAAATTTTATTGCATATAAGGATTTAACAACATTCTGATATAAAATACACTATTAATATGCACACATTTTTGTCTTGCATAATGGTAATGTACATTATGTTATACTCCATTAAAATAATGTATGTTTATTAAATTAAAAAATATAGTACACATAACATATCTAATTACACCATTCTACATCCTAAATTTGTAAGTAAAAAAAAAAAAAGACTAACAATTTAATAATATACATCAGGCCAATAATAGACTCACTATACATGATATTTAAGCCCAAATGATATGACCCAATACCATAACCCAACCCAATATATTAGACCCGACTCAAATCTATGTGGTATAAAAACACAGTTCAGCCGCATAATTCACCATCCCTACCCGACTCTTCGCCTCCTCCGCCTCCTTCGCCTCCTCCGCCTCCTTCGCCTCTCCCTCTCCGGTGTGTAACCTTCTTCTCGCTTCTCGCAAATTTGTCCCTTCAAAGCTGTAATCCATGGTTTCCAATGGCTATCCTTGTTGTATCTGGATCAAGAGTCGTTTATCGACCGTGGTTAAGCTTTTTATCCACAATATCGCGCTTTGTTCGAAGCTCTCAAATCCAACCCTAGACTATAGTAATTCCACTTATGCTTACAAAATACCCGAATTTCTAAACTAAACTCGCAAATTTCATTATCTAAAACCTAACCCTAACTCTTTCTGCTAGCCGATTGATTCTACTCAACTGCCGCTGATTTTGCGATGTTAGTTCACAAACCTAATTCCAGAATGCCTTAGTAAGATGTGTAAATTCTTTTAATTTTGTGTATTTATTTAGTAGAATACTTATATTTTGTGGGCATTACATTATATATTTTCTTTTTATGGTGAATGTATGTTTGTAATTAGCTCAGTGTTCGACAATGAATTATTGTCTTGAGTTTGGACAATTTAACTGCATAGTGTTTAATTTCATCTTTGAATGTGTGTTTTATTATTGCAGGTGGAAGTACAGTGAGGTCAACAACACTATAAGACAAAGTCCAGATTTAGATTTTAAAACATTGTAAGTTCAATTTATACATACTTAAATTATCTTTGTTATATTTTTTTGATAATGCTTTGCCATTAGTACTTAAATTATCTTAGGTTTATCTTTGTGCCTTAGGTTTATCTTCTATGGTAGTAATTCATATAAGAATTACAAATTGCATTCTGTGACAATCTCTGTACTTTAAAGAACAATTTTTTTTTTTTAAATGATGTAATACTTTTCTGATACTGTTTTTTAAAGACCAAGTTGGTTAATCACCTTTCTATACTGACAGATATTGGTAGAAATAGTGTTTCATAATTAATCATGTCTAGAAAATTTTGAAAATGCTTGTTTTTTTTTTTCAAAAAAAAAAAAAAATCACCTTTTCATTTATAAAGAAATTCACCTTGTTTCAAGTTTATATTTTTTCAAAATGAATTTAGAGTTAGTTTAAGTTTGTTTTTTTAGTCGAAATTTCAACTCTCCAGATTTGGTTCATATTTTTTTCTTCAAAATGAAAGCAATGTTTAGTTATTTTTTTTTTTTTGTTCAAAATTTCAACTCTTAAGATTTTGTTTCTTTCAACATGGAACAATAAGTATACTCTGGTTCCAGTGTGTTTTTTTCAAGCTGGAATAATAGGTTTCAAAAAAAAAAAGTTCCACCTTCTTACAAAATGCAAAAATTCAGACAAAAGCTGTGTTAGAACTATTTTCTAACTTAATGAACTACTTTGGTTTCTTATTTAATGCATTGTGATTTTCCTTTATTTTTATATTTACGTATTTTCTGAGTGTTCTTTACTTTGGTGTCTTATTTGCTTCATTTTGAATTCTTTTTATTTTTATGATTTCGTAGCTACAAATAATTTTTGTATTTGTACTTATACTTGAAATTCCATATTTCCTTATGGTATCCTAAGTCTGTAGATTTAGCAATCTGGAGAATACATATTCTGCAGAGTTTTTGAATCATCCACATGCCTTACATGGCAAAGATCTTCCATTGACAGCTTAACTGCTAGTTTGATTCAATCTTCAACCTTCAATCTTGATCTTGATTAGGACAACATTTGAGACTTGAATTATGAATACATTTATTTCTCGGAATACTTCATCTAGTGCTTCATATCTATTTTATTTAGTGTATAAATTTTCTATCAAGGGTTTTGCTCAAAAACACTACTCATCTAGAATTTTATTTATATGTTAGTTTGCATGCTTAATTCTAGAGTTTCTAATGTTTAGTCTAATACTCCAGAACCCAAACTACTCTGTCAATTTTGCTACCAAAAACACTTTAAATCTCTTATATTGTCCATTTCTATGTGATCTAGAAATAATTCTGTAGAAGCTTTTGCTACTCATATTTTTAATAAAATGTGTGTGTGTGTTGTTTTTAATAGTATTCTAACACTTTCTTCAAGAAAAAAGCAGATGATGTTTAAACATGCATTAGCTCAGTAAAATGTTTTTCAAATTAAGCTTGAGAAACAAAGTATCTTCAAAAATAATTTCTGTTCCCTGCTATTTTTTTTTCTTTTTTTTTTTTTTTGAAATGAAATTTCTTTTATAGTATGTTGCTATACATATTTGATTATTTCTGATTAAAACCTATTACTTTTTCTTAAAAGCATGCTTTTCATACTTTTTGTATAACATTAAGCGTGTATATAGTAACCTAAATATGAAACAGTTTTGGATATAGTTTGTTTTATCCTTTGCTCCAGCTTTAACAATCCCTTGAGCGGCAATTGTTGGACTGTATACTTCATCACCTGCACATGTTCCCTACTTATTTTTCAAACACAATAAAAATATTAGTAAATTATATGATTTGAAATAGGAATCCAAAAAAAAAAAAAAAAAACAGAAATAATCATATAACCAAATCAGAGTTCATGTGGTTTAAGAGTAGTTTCAAAAAATTATTTAAGATACCCCAGATTTAGAATGTCTTCAATATTTGCTTGCTGAAACTGTCATTGCCAGTTGATTGTATTGCAGATTACACTATTGTACCTGAAGTTTTGTGTAGGTCAAAAAAACAATAGAAGAAAATTAGGAACAATTAAGATATGATGCCAGTAGATGCAAATAGAGAAATAGAGAAATCCAACAGTTTAATAAGCATTGCGATACATTACAACATCATCCTTTGGTATTGTTTCATGTATGTATGTACCCTATATAAAAGCAAAGAAATTAATTTATTTATCTTACCTGTTTGTTAGGGAAAAGACTATTCCTTGCTCTTGCTTGTTGTTCCTCCTTGCAGTTCACGGGTTTCGTAAATTTGGACCAACCGGACTCTTATTGCTCCTCTGCTCCTGTGGAGAGGGCTAACCTGAGAAGCAAAATGTATTCTTAGGGGCTTTTTACAGCAAAATTCGGAAAGTTAATTTGAAAGGTTTTCGTTTGTGGAGTTGAATATCTGATTACACCGCCACTATTTATAGTAGATTTTCAATCAGATATTGTGGTTTGTTCTATGCCCCTTCGAAAAAAAAACAAAGTGTCTTGGAAGTATGAAGATCTAACAAAACGTTTCAGATTCCAAGAGCAGATCCATTATTGTTATGTTCAATTAAATTTAAAATAGATCTGATTTATTACGATGTATTAGTAGTATTGCAGGTTTGCTTCTCGATTATTTATTAATATGTAATTAATTCAAATTTAAAATGTAACAGAAAACATAGATGCTAAACCTCCTAGATATCTGTAAAACAATATAAACAGCATTTAGTACTCCTGGATTGAGTCTACCTAGTAAAACAACATTTCATTTTTGCATTAAATGAAATGCGAAAATCTGCTATTGTCAAAACTATGTCGTTTTCATTAGGCGGGAAACAATGATTGGCAAAACTTCTTGCTTTATTATAGAGTTAGATTAGATTTTTATAATAAACAAATTAAAAAAGAGATATTTGAGGTACTGACCTTTGACTTTAAGCTAAAATGTGAATATTCAACCCCCAACTCTCTCGGTTATATATATATATATATATATATATATATATATATATATATATATATATATATATTTGTGAAAATAATACAGTCGTTAACAAGTTACAAGGGCATCAAGCCATCAATAGTGTATATGATATAATATTTAATACAAAGAGTTGTAAAATAATAATAATAATAATAATAATAATAATAATAATAGTTAATCCACAAATGGTCCTTTAATTATTGGTGTAGTATTCTATTTAGTCTTCGATTTTCTATTCGACCACAATACATATCTTGACTTTCATTTTTAATCACTAACAGTCCTTCGTTAGAATTTCTGTTAAATGAGTGTAAATGTAAGGACATAATCGTCAAATCAAAACATATGGTCTTAAGAAAATAAATTACGTCCTAATTAGTCCAAAATTTATAAGAAATAATGAATGAAATAAAACTCTAATTGAATTTGCAAAATTTATAGAAGCAATTGTGCCCAAAAGAAAGATGCACTGCAGTAACGAGTTAACGACGCTAGAGCCAGAATAACATTCACAATGTCTATGCACGCACACATGACCTCACTATTGCCACCCATTAGTAGAGCTTGTACATCACTTAGAAAATGTTTTTAATGGTACATGATTGCACTAGTACGGTCCACGTTAGCCGATAAACATTATCAAAAGTCTGTAAGTTCCGCGGGCGCCATTTGATAGTGGTCTGATTATTTGCGAGACATAGGTTTTTGTGTCTTCCTATGTTTTGACGATTATACTTTTATATTTAACACTCATTTAATAGAAATATTAACGAATGACTATTAGTGGTCAAAAATAAAAGTCAAGGTATGTATTGTGGTCAAATGAAAAGTCGAGGCAAAATGAAGTACAATCGCAGTATAGTTAGAGGACCATTTGTAGTATTAACTATTTAACTTAACTCTAATAATAATAATAGAATTGTATGTTTTAATTTTAATTTTATTTTTTTTTGAATATTTCTGACTTTGTTACAATATAATATCTGTCCATAACTTGTATTAAATTATATTGTTGAAATTATAGATTAAATAATTAACGGTATTACAATCTTTACATATATGGGAAGTGTGTAACTAAAAAGATGGTTTTGGACAGATTTTCCATCGTATATTATAATATTATTATATAGCGGATTAATATTTGATACACCGTTGGTGTATAGATGCTATACACCGGCAGTGAAAGAGAAGATGCCACATCATTAAATAAAAAAGTTAATATTAGTTGAGTCCTTTTTTGCAATATTTAAGACTTGTATTTTATTAAGAAACTCTTTATTTCTAACTAATAAAATATATCTACTTTCCTAAACATATTTATTATTTAATTATTATCTATCTATTTTCATTGCATTTTTAATTATTAGATACATTATTAATTAAATTGACAAATGATGATTATTTTATATTAAATATATATTAATCACACATACTGTGAATGAACTAATGAAGTATATATTGTTCCCAAACATTAATCACCCTACTACATTGACGCATTGTAATTATTTTTTTTTTTTTATTTTATTTAATTACTAAACCATTTGGAAATAAAACACTTGTACAACTATTTTAATTTTTATTAATCAATAAACATTATGAACGTATTGCTTAATCTATGGACATTATGAACGTTTTTCTTAATCTAGATCAAAAACATCTATTTTAATCTATAAACATTATGAAGGTATTTTTTGATCTAGATTAAAATTGATATTTTTTATACGTAGTATTATTTTAAATGTTGTACTAAATAAATAAAACAACACCGCTAAATGAGCTTTTATTTTGGATACACTTTGATGTTCTGCCTCGGTTTGGGGATACTCTTTGGTGCAGTTGGGTACTTGGGATCTAATTTGTTTGTGCGGAGGATTTACAAGAACATTAAATGCGACTAAAGCTAGATTCTGCAGTGCATACGATGGGGGTTGTGGTTGGGCAACTGTGCACCATTAAGTTTTACTTACCCCAAGATCAGGTCTATATACTACTCTCGAGCTTAAAATGCCCAAGACGATAATGATATTAGTTATCCCGCTTTTAGTGAGAGGGTGAATGGACATTATAGATTAGATACCGGGAACGTTTTGATGTCAGGATAATCAATTGTTTTGACATTATATTCCTGTAAACCAAAATCAACCATTATAACTTGTTTTGGACTCAATTTTGAATTGATATATCATTGGTATCAAAAAAAAAAAAAAAAACACCATTTGTCAATTTAATTAATAATTAATAATGTATTTAATAATTAAAAATGCAATAGAAATTAGATAGATAATAATTAAGTAATAAATATGTTTAGAAGAATATATATATATTTTTGGTATCAACCACACATTGTGGTCTTTCTCTGTCCGTTTAACGGTCCACCCGATTTGCTCTGAGAAGCACAGAAACTGGCCAAAAGGGGATCGTCACTTGTGGGAATTGAATCCAGGTTATCCCGAAATTCTCCCCCACAAAAAGAGCTCATTTGCCACTTGAGCTACCCTGTTGGGTTAGAATACATATATTTTGTTAGTTAGAAATAAAGACTTTCCTAATAAAATATAAGGAGTTAATACCCAAAATGGTCCTCAACTATAGTAGTTTTTCTCAATTTCGTCCTAAACGACTTAGGTGACCTAATATAGTCCCAGACTTTTGTGTTTCGCTCAATTTAGTCTTCCGTTTGTTATTCCGTCAAATTGGTGTTAAATAAATGGACAATTCAATAATATCAATATTGACCTTTCTTTATTTTCAACCTACGAAGTGAGAAATCCCTCTATCTTGTACACCCATAATTACTCTCAGACCTACGAATCAAATTTTATATTCGCAGGTTTATGAGTGATTCTGGAGTAATTCGTAAAACAAAAAAGGGATTTCACACTTCACATGTCTATGAGTAAAGAGATGACAATATTAAAATTACTGAATTGTCTATTTATTTAACAACAAATGGACGGAATAACAAATGAGGGACTAAATTGAGCAAAAACACAAAGTCTGGGACTAAATTGAGTAAAAACACAAAACTTTGGGACTACATTAAGTCATCAAAGTTGTTTAGGACAAAATTGAGAAAAACCACTATAATCGAGGACCATTTTGGGTATTAACTCAAAATATAAGTCTTAAATATTGCAAAAAAAGACCTATTCAATATTGACTTTTTTATTTAATGATGTGGCATCTTCTCATTAACCGCCGGTGTATAGCATCTATACACCGAAGGTGCATTAAATATTAATCCTTATATAGCAGGAATTGTTGCAAATTACTTCATTAAAAACTTAATCAACAAAAATATCTTTTTCAACATATGACACTAAGTAATTATTTCATAAATCATCACTTGTCTAGTTGCATAAAGATGTCTTTATTAACTTCATAACAAGATCAAAGCCAACTTTAAAAGTAAATATATCAACATGTATTCCAAATATATCTTCTCATCGTCTTCAACAATTTTTGAGCTAATTCATCACTACCAACAAATTTAAAAAAAAAAAAAAAAGAAAAAAAAAAGTAGGCCTTAGAAGTGATATCAACAAAGTAAGTTTGAAGTTGGTTACGTTATTATTCAATAATTCAAGTTCAATATTAGAAAAATTATTATGATATAATTGTGTTAGTCAAACTAATTTCTCCTTAACAAACTTAGCAAATGAATTCATCTAATCAAAACATGTCACACACAAGAGCAACTATATATGCATTTTTCTCAATAAAACAATTGTTTAAGTCTTGCAGTTATAGATCTAAGATCATATAAAACCTTTCAACTTAATACCTATAAAGATGGGTCATTTCTTCAAATCTACGGTATGATTTTCATGGAGCTACATAAATTTCATCCATATTATTAGGGATGTGAATTCAATACTTAGTTGCAAAATAGTGAAACTTCTTCTCCTAAAAGAACTCCCCACCCACCATCTCAAGTTAAATTTGGCATGTCAAATTCATTCCATTAGCTAATTTGGAATGCAACGCATAAACTAATAATAATATGTGATACTTAGCTTTGCATGTAGGTCGTCAGATGATTTTTTGGTGATTTTGTATTCCCAAAGAATGACTCCACGTTGGCATGGAGCATGCTAACGAATTTCTGAATATTGAAACATAAACCAACAAGTACTCTCTTTACCGAGCTGACCTGAACGTTGTAGCAAAATGACAAGTGTCTTCTGCACGATAGGATGCGATATCAAATTCACCATTATCAACATGGAATTTGCTTCTATATTGTTGGAATGTTGTGCCGTGGTTAGTGATATAATCACTGTAATAGATGTGAATTCGTCGCTAATGGTGCAAACTTGATCACAATAATAGTATTACCTTAGAGATTAACACAATAATCCAATTTTCCTAGGTGCACTCAAAAAACTCGATCACAATAATGGTATTACCTTAGAGATTAACACAACAATCCAGTTTCCCTAGGTGCACCCAGAATAGGGATTGAAACTTACACATCATATTCGTACTCAAAAGTAATAAATTAAAGGACAAGAAAGAGGTCATACAATTTTTGTCAACTCATTATGTTCTCCCTTAAATAGTATAGGTCAAATGAATATAAACCACATATTATAACAATAGATTCTGACCACTCACCAATATGTGGTAAAAATTCCAAGAACTAATGATTAGGGATAATTCATGAGAGCCAAAAAAGAAAATGATTTTGACTTTGACTTTGCATTTTTAAGAAAATGATTTTGACTTTGACTTTGCATTTTTTGTACAGAACTTTTTGTTCGATGAATTGATATGAGTATTAATGTAAAATATTGAACTAGTTAAAATGCACAACTATAAATCATTGTTACAATCTTTACATATATAGGAAATTTAATTAATTTGTAACTAATTAATAAGATGGTTTTGTTATGATGTGCCCATAGTTAGTTATTACATTATTTACATTATATTATATATCATGAATAAAGTGATTTTTTTAAAAAAATTTAATTGACAAAAATAATCAAAGATGTATATTGTTTAACCTTGTCAAACATTCAAACTAGACCAATATGTACACTAGGTGATAGAATAATTGGATTAATAACCCATCTATTGATGACTCTAGCGCATTAAGGTCAAATCATCGGTAATGATTTAGGCCAGACGATCTCAATCCATTAAGGTCTTCCCAATATAGTTAAGACGATCGTTATAATACCTAGAAAAAGTGCGAAACGATCAACGGATAGCTAGAAGACGTCTGATCTAGTCAGTTACTACTTGCGTGTTGTTGTAAAACCTTATATATATAGTGTCTCAATGGCAGATGCACCATATTCTATTTGGACAACAAATTCTTTCTACGACTTAATACAACTATTCTCTTTATGACAGTGTACTGATTTAAGTAAAAATCACAATAATAATTTTTATCGCTTTAAATAGATATAAATGACAATATAAAAGCTATTACAAAATATCAGACTTTATCTGTGCACACTCTTAAATAATAATTATGAATTTCAGATCATCCAAACAAAAAATACAATAATGTATGCCACAACAATCATCCAATATGGTCCATGTATCAATATATTTTTGAGATTTACATTTTGATCATTGATGCACCATCATTATATCTATTATCTCTGTCCCAAATTCATTTTCTGCCATGTACATTAATTTTTTTAAGGTCAAAGTGTCATCCTGCATCACAAACCATTTCTGAATATTTATGCCGCATAGGTCAGGGTGCAGCATGAATAATCAGGGGTGGTTCATGGTGCGTGATGACAGTTTAGCCTTTTTTATTTAATATTTTAAATGTTATTTACTTTTAATAAATAAACACAGTACGATTTTATGTACTTTCTTATATTATTATCTTTCTACAATTAAACTAGTCAAAAATTAAATTATAAATAATTCACCCCAACTACTTTATTTTATTTGGTCAATTGAACACATAAAATAATCATATCAGTCCAAAAATAATCTCTTATATATTGATAAGAAAAAACATAGTTAACACTAACCAAACACATACACATATTACAATCTTACGAAGTCCGCCAATCCACCCCGTGATGGCCACGAGATAGAGTGGTAGTCTATGGAACCCGCCACTCGGGTTGGGTTTCCACCTCTTCACCCTTAGGGCTTTTTACTTCCTTTAATTGTCTTCCACTCCTTAGGATCATAGCTTGCATCCTTATCCTACCTGAAGAAGCAGCAGACCCCGACCCGGCCCCTTACATGGATTTGGCCTACGAGCCCACCCCCAAACATTCGGAAGTCGAGAAGGAAAAACTTAAGTGTGGGGAGTTGATAACTCTTATTTTATACTATATTTTATCCCATTCTTAATCTCTTTTTGTGCACATTTCAAGGTGTTTCATTGGATTTCTGAAGGAGGTCCGACACGATCATGTAACGTTCTAATATGAATTTACACAAATTATTAGTTATAATGCTAAATATTTTTTGATTGTACTGAAAAACAATGAGGAAGGATCGGAGATCTGGTTTAGAATTTGAATGAATATATATTCGGGTCATCAATGAACATGAAGTGTATAGTAGTTTATTGATGTGTTGAAAAAAAGTAGTTTAATGATGAAGCTTCTTAAATTGTAAGTTTTTTTTTTTTTCATCGTACAAAACTATTTGTACTACAAAATAATGAAAGACACGTCGGGAATTCAATTCAGAATTTTGTTAGTATTGGGGTAATGAAGTGTAGTTTATTGATGAAACTTCGTAGATTGTGTTTTTCTCGTACACAGAAGTTTTTGTACGGTGAATTTATATGAGTAGTACTAACGTTGGAGCTTGCAAGTAAGGAATGGATATATAACTGATTTGAACATGTCAACTCTTTGTTCGAGTCAGAAGGAGTTAGGACATTATTTTATCCATTATTTAATTATTCGATTTTTATTATTATTATTTTTTAATTTTATTTTTATTTCCATGTTCGGTCTTTTTGAAGCCATATTTTTCCTCGTCAACGTCCAAAATTTAAGCTATCCGCTTTGTCCCCTCGTCAAACGCTAAACTGAACTAAACCCTCTCTCTCTCTCTATCTTTCTCTCTCTTCCAAAACGAATATAATTTAAAAAAATATTAAAATAAAAAACTTTACTTTCTCTCACACTTCTCCTCCTTTGTCTCTCCTTCTTTGGTTTAGTTTTTCTGTTTTCCCATTTTGCGTGCTGGCCGGGAAACTGTTGATGGAAACGCCGGAATTCTTCCACGGCGGTTACTACGAGGCAGAGTTCTCGCCGGACAAGCGGCTGCTGGAGAAGAATGGGGATAATTTTATCGTGGAGGAGCTGCTTGACTTGCCCAATGACGACGGGTTGGTGGCCATCACTGACGGCGGGGCACTCGATGCCGCCACCGCGGATTCCTCCACCGTCACCGCCCTTGAAAACTCTTGCACCTCCTCCGCCTTCTCCGGCGAAATGACTTGCCATCACCTGTTGGACGGGCAGTTTTCCAGTGACTTCGCCGTTCCGGTAATTCATTTTCTCCGTGCAATATTTGTCGGGCCGGGCCTAGGAGTTGAGTGGCATTGATGTGATGTTTAATTTTGTTTTTTTCGAATGATGAAAAAAAAATTCGCAATCATTATATGGTTTGTATTGGGTAACTTTGTCCTGTGATTCTAGGTTGTTCATAGCTGACGGGTTTGAACAAAAAAGGTCAATAATAAGTTATTCATGTTAGGAATCAAACTTGTAACCTTTGTATTGTCAAGTTGATAATCTGACGAACTTGACTGGTTTACGGTATAGTTTTTGTTTTGTCATAGGAAAATGGGATTGAAATGTTGTTTGTTACAGTACGATGATTTGGCTGAGCTGGAGTGGCTGTCAAACATTGTTGAGGAACCGTTTTCGAGTGAAGACATGGAGAAGATGCAGCTTATATCAGGAATCAAGGCCCGAAATGATGAAGCTTCTGAAGCCCAAATGGTCCAGCCCGAAAACACCCGGGCAAATGCAGTGCCCATGTTCAGGCCCGACGTGTCCATCCCGGCAAAGGCGCGTAGCAAGCGCTCGCGCATTGCGCCCGGGAATTGGACGTCAAGAATTCTGGCTGTCTCTGCCCCAGCAACCAACACAATTACCACCACCACCATCACCACCACTGCCACTGCAATCATGCCCACACCCACCATTTCCTCATCCTCGGAGTCCGACATGGTGCCGAACCACGCAAGGAAGAGAATGAAAGCGACAATGAAAAAGAAGGAAAGCTCTGCTAGTGGCGGGGCTGCCGTCGCCACCCTGAGCAACAATAGCGAGGGTCGGAGGTGTCTCCACTGTGACACGGACAAGACGCCGCAATGGCGAACTGGGCCCATGGGCCCGAAAACACTCTGCAATGCTTGTGGTGTTAGGTATAAGTCAGGCCGGCTCGTGCCCGAGTACCGGCCCGCTTCCAGCCCGACTTTCGTCCTCACCAAACACTCCAATTCCCACCGCAAAGTCATGGAGATCAGGAGGCAAAAAGAACTCCATCGGGCCCAACACCACCAACAACAATTCCTTCATCAAAACATGATGTTTGATGTATCCAACGCCAGTGATTACTTGATTCATCAACATGTGGGGCCCGATTATCGACAGCTGATCTAGTGAGAGAGACCCACCCAAACTAGTATTTCTTAGGTTCATTTTCTAGGTAAATAGATTCCCTTAAATTATTCAATTTTTAGTAGCTTATTTCAATATTTCATTTGAAAACCAGTTTTTGAGGTACAACAGTGGATGCCGGAACACTTAGGAGATTCCATCCAGCCCACTGCGAATGAAATACGAGACAGTAATATAAAGCAGAGAGAACAATACAAGTAGAGAATATAATATGTTATAAGATCTTATATCTCGTAAATAATTTCTTTTATGTTTAATTTGCCATAAAAATTGGCAGAATCTTTTAGGCAAAATCCTTCCTAGCTAGTTATTCATTAAAGGTTTATTTTTTGATTTTTTGATGTAATTGTCAGTTTTATTTTGTTCCAGGAATAAGTAAACTTTTACTAGTCCCATTCATGCATACACTATAATGCTACTTTTGTTTCCTTTTTTTTTTTATTTTTTTTTATGACCATATTTATTTTTAAAATTTCAAATCTTTTATGTTTGCTTTTGTTAATTTTCGTTTGTTAACACGAACTCGAACACACAAATATCAGGTTAGTGTTTACTTTAATGTATCCCGGGTGGTTAACGGGTTACTTCATTAAGGACTCGTAATGTTTCGTGTCTTAAAGAGTCAACCCATTAATACGAACACATTTAACACATTTATAATCCGTTAAGAACCATTGTTATATAATATAAATGAAAGTATTTTTCAATTTAAAATATCTAACGAATGGATAAAATTAAAACAAATAAATAATACTCTCTCCGTCCCATTTTATGTGTATGATTTGGTTAACGAGGCTTGACTGAAGTTATTTTTAATCCAATTTTCATAATATAAAGTTTAGTATTAGTATACAAAATTTATATAGTTAGAAACTACACTAGAAGTACTATTAAACACAAAAAATCAAATTTAAAAATAGGTAAAAAATACTAAAAAAATAAACAAAGAAGAAAGAGTTGATTTGGCTAATGAATAGTAAGTAGGACAGATAAAATGATACAGATGGAGTTTAAAACAATATATTAAAACATTTCCTCTTTAATCTATTTCATTCATAGCATATTTTAAAATACGCAAACATGAAATACAAGTTGTGATAAAATATTTGTTATTTGTATACTAATAAAATAAAATTACTTAATAGAAAATTAATTTAATTATAATTTATTACATTTGTGTCTGCAGTTAATATATTAGGCACATGTATTATCTCAGTGGAGGCAAAATTTAAATAACGTTAGAAATGTCAATGACAACATATCAAACAATCATAATAAGGTTAAAATACAAAATACATTATAAATTACCAATATATTGTTTTTGATAGATTACATTATAGTTGGGGTTAGAGTAAAAAATATACTTCAGTGGGATGAAAATGTGAAAATATTTATAACAAAATATGAAACATAATCAATTAGATAAAATAATTTGAATAACACTATATTCATAAATAGTTTTTTAATTTTAACTTCTTTTAGTTAGATCAACTTTAAGTTTTTCTAAATTAATTCGAATACAAACTTGTATACTACATTAATTAAAGGAAAAAATATGTGTGAGTTCGTCTCATGGACCCGTGAGACGGATCGGATCTTTGATTAATGAGGTCAAAGCTAAATTCGACCCATTAATCAAAGGGGTTCAAATATTTGATCCATTAATCAAAGATCTTACCCGTCTCACAGGTCTCAAAGACCTATGAGACGAAGTTAAACTAATGATTCATTTAAATTAGACTAAACAAATATTTAATTTATCTTGTGAAGGAATGAATGAGATAAGGAAAAGTGTTGGTAATGAAATTTGAACCTATAACATAGGCTTCTTATCATTAAGTTTGGAGTTCAACCAATTAAACCACTTGTTGGTCCCGGTAGGGTCAGAGAGAGTCTAGAGGGGGGGGGGGGGGGGGTGAATAGACTCTAATCGATTCGTTTTCGATTTTTCTCCTTTGGAGATACGCGTAGCGGAAATTTTGTTTCATGTTAACTTTTCTTTGCACTCTTTCGTGTTTATAAGGAAATGCGTTTGGTCGATATGATATGATATGCAGAGCATGAAAGTAAGAGCGATAAGTAAAGAGAGAGACAAAGATGTTTATAGTGGTTCGACTAACCGTGCTTACTCCACTCTTCTTTCACAACTTGTGAAAGAGTTTACACTATCACTCCTAGTACAAACTACTTCAAGCTGGCTTCCTTGATCACTAAGTAGGAGAGCCACATGACAGGTTTTTCAACTCCTGGAGTTTACTCCGCCTCTATCAACTAACTCCTGAGTTGAGATGTTGGAAAAGAGATTTGGTGTTTCTCCAACAGATTGAAGCTTGTCTTGATGTCTGAGTAGATCTTCGCTTGATGAAAGAGCAAGACAGCTTCAGGCTGTGAAGTATGAGGAAGGATATGCCTTTAAAAAAACTTCACAACTAACACTGGTTTATGAAAAGCTAAGGAGATGGAACTGCATTGAAATGCTTTTCGTAGATTGAGAGAGTGAGTTAACCAGCACCTTATTCAATGGTGAAGAGGGGTATTTATAGGCAGAAAAATCCATCTGTTGGAGGGAGATGAAAATTTCAAACCTAATAACCAGTGTGTATTACTCAGTGGGCAATGAGCATTAAATGCATTTGTACTGTGTAGCCGTTGAGCAAAAAGCATTATGGCTTTTGTTCTTGTTCACTGACAGGATAGTACAAGTCTTTTAATGCTCCTTGTCTTTAGTGAAGATCATTCCTAGGACACCTTTTGTCCGAATGATTTGCCCAACTGAATGATAGACAACATTCTCATTGTTTCCATTAATGAGAGTTGTCTTTTAACAAGTCTATCCTTGACTTGTATATTTGGGACCGAAAGATTGTCCTCATCTTTCGTCCTTTCCTTTTGAACGAAAGTCCCTTTTGTCGAAGCAGTCCGTCCGAGACTTCCTTTAGTTCTCCTTTCGTTTGTAGGCAACTTTCGATCGTCTTCATGTAGACCTATTCTACTAGTCTCGTGCATGATTTAACATTTCATGCCTATGTCATACGAGACTTTCTATTAAACAAAAAATAGGGGTCTACATCCTAAGACAGTTTGGTATCATCAAAATCTATAAACACTTGTTCCTAACACCACTCAAACTATTAATAATTTTAACATAAATATAAGTTTTATATAACAATTAATGCTATATATGTGTGTGTATATATATATATATATATATATATATATATATATATATATATATATATATATATATATATATATATATATATATATATATATATCTAAAAACATAATAAGTGTGAATGAAAGTTACACTACAAGAAAAATGCACATAGACAACACTAGAAAGACAACAGTTTTTAAGAAAAGTGTTGTCTTTTGTATAAAAGACAACAGTTTGGTCCAAAACCGTTGTCTTTGATGCAACACTTTTGTCAAAGACAACGGTTTTTACTTAACCGTTGTTATAAGTGTGTTGTCTTTGTGCATTTTGTGAAAAGACAACACCACAACGACAACGGTTTTTAAAAACCGTTGTCTATGTGCGTTTTTTTTTTTAAATAAGACAACGGTTTTTTTAACTGTTGTCGTTGGTGTGTTGTCTTTAAGCGGACTGGAATACACAACACTAGAAAGACAACGGTTGTAAACAACCGTTGTTTTTGTGCGCTCTTTTTTAAAAAATAGACAACGGTTTTATTTAACCGTTGTCGTTGGTGTGTTGTCGTTAAGCGCACTCGAATACACAACACTAAAACGACAACGGTTTTATATAACCGTTGTCTTTGCATGTTCTTTATTTGTTTAAGACAACGGTTTTGTTTAACCGTTGTCTTTGATATGTTGTCTTTAAGTGTATTTGAATACACAACACTATAAAGACAACGGTTTTAAAAAACCGTTGTCGTTGCGCATCATTATTTAATATGTATATAAAATAAAAACAAAGATGTTAACTAGAAGAATTGAACCTATGACCTCATGCTTAACAAATACAAGGTTTTACCAACTACACAACACAAACTTTAATATCTAAGGGTGCAACATTTGGTATATAACTGGGTTTCTTCTGTGTTGTTTGTGAAAACCAAGACAACAATTTTAGATGATAGTTGAAAAATTCCCCCCAAGAAGAATAAAACCTGAGACCTCTAGCATAATAAACTAAGCTAAACCCACCAAGCCACAACAACACTTATGTATTTAAGCGCAACATCTAGTATATTACCAAAATAGTTCTATTTTCGTTCATATTTAAATATAAAATTATTCACCAAAATTTCAAAGTAAATTCATTAAAGTTTTATTTTCAATTATATTACAATAAAGGCCAATCTATGAATTCAAAATAATAATAATAATTATCAAGTATAAAAAACAGTACGGGGTGGTGTTCATAATGGTGCGGTATATATGATGAGTATTGGTTTAGGGCGGTATATATGATAGGGGACGGGGTTGGTAATCGATTATTCCGGCAAGCGCATGACTAACAAGGTTAGCTATATGTTGGTAATTGACGCTTACGGCTAGCGCATGACTAACAAGCTAAGGTTAGCTATGTGTTGGTAATCGACCCTTCCGGCTAGCGCATGACTAACAAGATCGAAACTGTTGGTAATCGACCCCTCCAACATGCCTGGAACACGTTGCGAATGGATATGAAAGAGTAGTTTATCGATGCCGTACAGTTTGCTATATCCCATTTCTTTTGCCGCGATCTTAATTAATTAGCTCTATGTTCATAATTACCAAACTATATATTCATAATTTTTGAATTGAAATGCATATTCATAATGATTGAATAACTCTGATCAATATTCACAATTACAGAATTTTGTGGTTATAATTTGCGATGTTCATATTCCCAAGTGTTTATAACTATACATTTTAGAAATTGTGAATCAACAATACAGATTATGAATATGCAGTATAGAAATTATGAATTTATTATATAGAAATTATTAATATATACAACTGTATTTAAATTAGAAATATACTATATAGAAATTATGAATCTACATTATAGAAATCTATAAATTTCGTGTTCTGTACCTACTTTAACCCAGTTTTATTTTAATTGACCGGATCGGATGTAGCGACTCGAATAATTAAACTAATATTTTGTTAAGAAATTTCCCTCTAATTAAGCTATCTAAGACAAATTAAAATTTTCCCCTAAGTCAAAATTTCCCTCTAAGACAAAATTGGGATTTTTTTGTCTTCCCTCTCCTTCAGACCTTGTTCGCCGACCGTCAGTCTCCGCTAATAGCTCGTCCGTGTCGGGGGGGTTTCTGCCGGCTTCAACAACACCAACGACACAGCTCGTCCGTAGGTCTTCGCAGCCATCTCCGCCGACCGCCACTAGACATCTCCGCCGACCGTGTACCGCCGCCGCGTCCAAGCTTCGCACCGTCGCCAAAGCCCAACCTCTTCCGCCATCGCCGCCGCCATCCTGTGTCGCCGTCGGTCCAGCTGCCGCCGCCGTGAGGTATCCAAGTTATTTTAAGGTAATAATCTGTCAACTTTATCCAAGCTAGGTCTGATTGTATCAATGTGTGTATCAATACAGTATTTGTTTTTTTTGTGTGAAAATATGATAAAAATTTAAATTATGATCTCTGGGTGTGATTATTGTTTTCAATCTACTTTTGCATAAGAAAGAAGTTGTAGCTTTGTCAATGTGTGTATCAATACAGTAGTTGCTTACTGCATAACTTCTAAATAATTAAATAAATTACTTACTGCTTAGTGAGTTAGTGTAGGCTGTGTAGTAGATTGCTTCATCACATATTAGTGAATTTATGGATTGTTAAACATTTAATTTTTAATACTTTGCACATTGGCAGTGAGCAGTGAGCTCATTTAGACTTTGGAGCATATTTTAAATTATGAACTATTATTAGATGTTGCTGCACAATATGTTGAAGGATGGGATTGGATTACTCCAATCAGGTGAACAAGTGTTCTGTTACTGACATTTGCAATTCATACTGATTATTCTCTCTCTGTTTTATGTGTGTGTTTGAACTTTTTGAGCAGATGTTCTTGTTTCCATGGTTAGATGACTCTGAATTTATTGGAATAGTCATTTCCAATAGTTAGATTCCCTTAGGCAACAGGTCACACACCCATAGACTTTGGTGCCTCCTACTCTGATGCTGCTGTGCCAAAAAAAAAAAAAAAAAAACAAAAGGAATAGTCCCATTTTATGGAATAGTCCTTTCCAAGGGACAGCTTAGGCCATTTCCTATAGGAAGCCAATTTTTTTGTTAAAACAAGAGAATCAAGCGTGCACTTGTAGAAAGAAAGATTTGTAACTCTTTCACTGAGTCTCACTATTAGCAGTTCATGCTCTCTACAGAGCATTTAAATTCCATAATTTTGTTTTACTATAAATACTTTCACAGGGCATATGGATGGTGTTTGAGCAGAGTTGGTAAAATAACAGTATAACTTTTCTGGAGCTTTCAGATAAGGTCTTCTTTTTAAATTTGTTGGGATATTAGTGACTCACTTGCTCTTAAGATCAGTGATTCACTATGTTGGTTTTATTCTCTCTTTCCTGTCTACTAGACTCTGCGGGAACAATAAACTGAACTTGTTTTAACTAGTAATTTGTTTTTAGTGTTAATTTTGAAATCTTTATGTGCTTGTCTATGAACGAATATTGTTATTCTGCAACTGCAAATTCTGCAGCAGATCAGCTCTTATGGTGATGATAGTAATAACACAAAGGAAAAGGCAAAACATGTAATGTTATATGTGAGTTGTAGTGATGATGTTAGTTTTTTTTTTTTTTTTTTTTTTTTTATAGTAATTTTGTACTATTTGGGGTGGGAGAATGTCTGGTGGGTACTGACCGGGAAAATGAAATCTTGCATGCAATTTGCATCCTAGATTCTTGTTTTTACACACACATACAGGTCAATTATATGAAGGGCTATTAAAATGGTTCATGCATCCACTACGAATGCAAAGAAAGGACGCAGTAAAACTGCTTGAGAAATTGTCAAGGTAATTTCATATTTTTAACTATATAAGTGTTTGTATATAGCTAAATTGTAATGCAAATATTATTTAACATTTGTAGGCTCCTCGTCAACCGGATAGTAACCAATGCGGTTTCTTTGTCATGGCGTACATGAAAAGTTTAATTGAGAATATGCCAGACTTCGATGATAAAAATTCTGTTCAAGCACTGGTATTACATTACATTTCTACTCTCTCTTCCCTATTTCTCGCTGTTATTTAATTGCAGAATGGTTATAGGTTTTTAATGCTTTGTTAGCTTGGGTTTAAGCCTCTCTCTTTTTCACTTGATTTGGACAGTTATTGATGATAAATTTGATTTTTATTTTTTATTTTTTAGAATAAGTTTGTTGCTCTGAAATTTGGGTGTAGAATGCGTGTGAAAGCTCGAAATTTTGGGCATTTTAGTGCTTGATGTTTTGTAATTAATAAGGGATTTCTTTGTCGTTTGTGTTTAAATTTCATGCATTATATTCTCATGAGATTTTATCTGAATTGTTTATCAAATTTGGGTGTCTAGTAATCTCCCTAAGACTTGAAGGCTAAGACAGTGTGTTTCTTTACTTGTTGGCTACACTTGTTATGATTCTCTTTAGGGAACTCATTATCTTGTTATGAACAGCTTGAGTATGAATGTGGTGAGAGTAAGATGGCAGTTTCATTTCATTGCAAATTATTTATATCTATACTAATTTATTTTCTTACTTTTTACATGTAGTTTCAACAAGTTGATTATGACAAAGAGGTTATTGATCTGGTGCGATCTGAATGGGCCGATATTCTATCAAGTCATATAGAGTAGGTATGATTTGGTCATTCGAACGTTGTGATCATCTGGACTTGAATTGGTTCGGGGAATTGTTGTAGTAGTATTATGACTTGGATGATAATTAGAATTGGTCATGGAAGTCTTTTGACTTGTTATTTTGAACCTTATTAGCTTGTGCACAATTATGTAACTACACTTTGCAACATATGGTGAATGGATAAATTGTTTTTTTATACGATTATAATTTAAGCAGGTGAAAAATGGTTAAAAACCGTTGTCTATTTTACAATAGACAACAGTTAGAAACCGTAGACTTTTCTACAAAAGACAACAGTTTATGGGTGTTTCAACAACACCCAATAGACAACGGTTTATAACTGTTGTCTTTTAAAGAAAAGACAACAGTTAAAAACCGTTGTCTATGTACGTGACTTTTAACAACACTGGTTTCAACAACGCTTAATAGACAACGGTTAAAAAACCGTTGTCATTGGTAGAAAAGACAACGGTTAATAACCGTTGTCTATTGCGTGACTTTTAACAACACCGGTTTCAACAACACTTAATAGACAACGGTTAAAAAACCGTTGTCGTTGGTAGAAAAGACAACGGTTAATAACCGTTGTCTATTGCGTGACTTTTAACAACACTGGTTTCAACAACACTTAATAGACAACGGTTAAAAAACCGTTGTCGTTGGTAGAAAAGACAACAGTTAATAACCGTTGTCTATTGCATGACTTTTAACAACACCAGTTTCAACAACACTTAATAGACAACGGTTAAAAAACCGTTGTTGTTGGTAGAAAAGACAACGGTTATTAACCGTTGTCTATGCGCAGGACCTACAACAACACCGGCTTCAACAACACTTAATAGACAACGGTTATAAAACCGTTGTCGTTGGTAGAAAAGACAACGGTTAAAAAACCGTTGTCTATGCACAGGACCTACAACAACACCGGCTTCAACAACAGAAAGTATACCCCTACGACAACGGTTAATAACCGTTGTCTATGTGCATTTTTCTTGTAGTGTTATACCCCTAATTTATGTCCATTTTTTCTGTTAAGTTTTTTTTTTTTTTTTTTGTATATTATGTTATAAAGGTTGTACATTAAAATATTTTGGACAAACATACCCCTACCGTTATAACTTCCGTTATCTTTTCCACTATTGTTACCATGCACATGTATCCACCATATATTTTCTTATCTTCTTCATTAATAATAGGCTAAAGTGTCATCCGGCACCATGAACTATACTCGATTACCGCACCATGATCTTTAATAAGTGATATTTAGATCCATAAACTATTACTTTTTTTTCGCCAAGAACTTTTTATAAGTTTCTTACAGGTTACCGATAATCTGATGCTGACATGGAATTTTTTATTATTTTATTTTATTTTTTTTGTCCCCGAACTTGTGAATGAGCTCCACGACGGCTTCATCTCTTCGATTGGAGGCTCTCTGTTACAGCACTGAGATTTTGAGGTGGGCACTGAGATTTCGTTCATCTCTTTGATCGGAAGCTCTCTATTACGGCTGTATTCCGCTCCTGGCTTCGTTCTTGAATGCTTCGCTGTGCTCGGGAGGCGGTGAATAGCCGTAAAAGTACGAACTTTCCCCTACTTTGTTAGTGGTAATATGAGAACATGTTAATGGGATTGTGTCCTTTTGAATCGAGAAGGGGTTTTCTTACATTTTTAATGGGTATTGTGCATAGCAAAGATGGTGTCGTTTTTATTGATTAATTGGGCTGATATTTGTTATTTCCCTTTTTGCTTGTTCTCATGTGTAATTTCTTGTTCTGGAATCGAGCTGACATCTTAAACATGAATGTTCTGTGGCAAAGGTTGTGTCTTTTTCCTCGGTTGATTGTGGGGTGGTGGTGGGGGGATAGTTTTTTTTTTTCTTTTCTGTATAGGTCCTCATACATGAATTGTTTGTTTTTCTGTATGCATATTCATGTAGACATGAATATTATTTAGGTAAAATATTGGAAAGAGTACCAGAATCACTGTAATCTGGACTTTGTACAACCAATAGCAATTTTGTGAACTTGTTTATTTTTCATGTAGTTATGCAAATATATATTAATTTCATGTAGGGTCCATTTTTGTTGCTGCGCCCCGGGCCTATAAAATGATAGGACCTGCTCTGCTGTTTAGGAGTTAATTGATTGTCCATATGTGAACATGAATCTTAAATATTGATCTAGTTTGGGCCTGGCCTGGCCTGTTTATAAGGAAGCCTGTGTTGTTTATGCTGCTGCTAGATGATGACGTTTAACATGAGGATATACTTGCTAGGGTATGCTCTTGGAGCGTTTAATCTTCTTCTAAAATTTTCAAAGCACTTCGTCTGGTTATTATCTGCACTTTTTGCCAATTTTTGCTGCCGTGATTTTTGCAGGCAAAAAAGTAAGCAAAATTGCTTACTCTGCAGGTTGTATACAATGCAAACAAACTTGCGAAATTGGTTGAGGAAAAGAAAAGTAAGCAAAATTGGCTAGACTATTACCAGTTCCATTCCTTCGAGGATTTGATGCGTTTATATACGTGGACTGCCTCCTTCTACAGCGGCTATGGTTGCTTCTCGGTCTGGCGGTGGTAGCTCCCATGGTCGACAATCCACGCGTGGCAGCAGGGGGCAGCATCGCGGGGGTGGTGGGAGAGGACAGTCCGGTTGCCGTTACGCAATCTTCTTTGTAATTGGAGTAGTTTTTTTTTTTTTTTTTTTTTTTTTAATTAAAAATGCTTACCTGGACAGAGAAATAAGGCCACGTCAGCTTATTACCGCGCATGTCATCAGGATTACCGGAAAACCTATAAAAAGTTATAGGCGAAAAAAAAATAATGATTTATGGATCTAAATATCACTTATGATCATGGTGCGACATGAATAATCGGGAATAATTCATGGTGCGGAATGACACTTTAGCCTTAATAATAATATCTACACATTATATATTTGAGTTATATGTTAATTATTACATAAAATATAAATATCAAATTTATAAAAATGATTTACATTATTATTATTATTTAGAATAATTTAAATATCTAAAATCTAAATAAATTTAAAATTTTAATATAATATATTAATATTGGACACCTATTTTTTACGCATCGCGCATAAAAAATACTAGTATATATATATATATATATATATATATATATATATATATATATATATATATATATATATATATATATACACACACACACACACACACACACATAATTAAAGGGGTGGGGGGACAGCTGCCCCCATTGCTCCCATAGTGGCTCCGCCCCTAGCAAATAACAAATTATGTGTCTTCAATTTATTTGCATGCACATAATATGTTAATTGAATGTTATGTGTTGAATATTTTTTTTAGTTCGTTTAATGAATTGAATGGTAGCGGGTTTAAACGAGTTTCGTGTCATATTGTGTCGACACGAACCGAAACATGTTAACAAAACATGTCTATTGTGCCAACCCGTCTACAAATCGTGTCCGCATTCGTGTTAATAATTTCAACTCATTAACATTAACGTGTCGTGTCCGTGTTTAGTCTTATTGTATTCGTGTCATTATTGTGTCGACCTGTAAATGAACTCGTATACACGAATTATCTGGTCTACATTTTCACTAATAATTTAAAGTTTTAATTCAAATAAAATAGATAATTACATATTTTAACATGAGAAAGCAAACAAAAAATTCATGTTTTTTCTTTGTATGAAATGTTATATGGCCTTATTAGCGTTTTAGTCGATTATTGACGCCTTGTGTGTAATTAATAGAGCAACAGAAATTTTAACTACACACTACAATTACACAACTATGGCAAGAAAATGATAACACATCAAAACCAATAAAATTAAAGATACATAAAATTAAAATCACAACCATACAATAAGAGAAACATATTGCTCTCCAAGATTATTGAATAATTATTGCTTCATTTGATGATCAATCCTTATTAGCGCCCAATGACTAACCTTATAAACCATCGTGGTTTTCCATACTTAAACATGAAATATCCTAGAGCAATACCAAATGGCATGCCACAACTGTATCCAACAACAACACTTTGCCAACCAAATCCAATCCAAAAACTTTGTGAATCCTCTGTGTCTGACGATGCATGCCCTTCATCATTTTTGTCTTGGCATTGTACAGTTAGTGGAAATCCACATAGAGCCGCGTTTCCCAAATAGGAATCGTTGCTAAATGTGTTAAACTGTTGGCCATTAGGTATACGGCCAGAAAGATGATTATAAGAAAGATTCAAATTTGAAAGAAATGTTAATGATCTTGAAATTTCTTCTGGAATCTCACCCACTAGTTTGTTTGATGAGAGATCGAGCGTCTCAAGATTAGTTAAACTTCCCAGTGATGATGGAATATAGCCAGCAAGCTGATTCTGTGATAGATTGAGAGTCACAATAAAATGAAGCTCTCCTAAAGATCTTGGAATCTCACCATTAAAGTTGTTGTTGGATAGATCAATGGTTGTGTAGATATCATAGTGTGCCAGTGGAACCTCCTTCCCTTTCCACACTAGGCTTATTGATAAATCACTCCTATTATTCCACCCTGGGCCTGTTAAGAAATCATTTCCTTTCAACACTAAGCTTGAGATGTCATAAAATTCTAATGGTTCATCATTATTTGCATGCTTCATGGCTTCAAAATTCTCCATATAATATCTTGGCAAAGGACCTGTGAACTCATTGTGTGAAATATCAAATATATACAACTTTGGGAATGGAAATCTAGTCTTAGAAGTACTGCATATTTCACCGTAGAACTGATTAGATCTCAAGACAAGAACACGCAATCCGCGAAGAGCATCTGACCAGCATGGGAACGTATCAACTATCTTGTTGTTCCCGAGATTTAGAATTTCGAGAAACTTGCAATTTTTCAAGCTTCGAGGCAATGGTCCTTCCAAGTGATTGCTCTTCAAATTGAAATACAACAAGTTGTTTCCTTTTCTCCATGTTTTCGGAATAGTTCCCTGAAGTTGATTATCAGCAAAATTTATAACCTCAAGTTTCCGACTAAAGTTTCCTAAACACCGAGGTAGTGGACCATGCAAATTGTTGTTAGAAAAATCAAGAAATCTTAAGGAACTCAAACCGCACAACCCTAACTCTGTTCCAGAAATTAAACTGGAATTTGTTATTTGATTTGTGGCATTCCCAAGTCTCCAAGTTTGAGGTATGGTGCCATGAAGCTGGTTTTGAGAAACTAGCAAAGTTCTCAAAACTTTCAATTTTCCAAGACATTGTGGAATTGGACCGCCCAAACTGTTGTTGGATAAAATTAGCCCTTCAAGGGAGCGGAGATTGCACAGTACTCTAGGAATATTTCCATGCAACATATTGGAGCGGAGAAAAAGATATCTTAATGATGTTACATTCCCCAGACATTCTGGGATTTGACCTCCCAAACTATTGTTGGATAATGAGATACCTTCAAGAGAGTAAAGATTACACAGCGTTGCTGGAATACTGCCTCGTAAGATGTTGGAATTGAGAGAAAGATATCTGAGTGAAGTTATATTTCCCAGGCACGGTGGAATTACACCATCCAAGCTATTTTCATATAAATCAAGAACTTCGAGATGGTTAAGATTACAAACTGTTTCAGGAATATTTCCTTGCAACATGTTGCGACCGAGATCAAGGAGCCTTAGTGAACTTAGATTTCCAATGGTAGGAGGCATTATTGAATGGAAGAAATGGGTTTCGCCTAGTTTAAGTACTTCAATACTGGATAGCTTGAATAGATTTGATGGCAATGGTCCTTGGAATTGATTCCTCCCACAATTGAAATATTGAAGCCTGGTCAAATTGGAGAATATTTCTTCTAAAATTTGTCCAGTCAAAGAATTTGAATATAGGGAGAGTAAATGGAGGTGTTGAAGGTGTCTTATTTGGGAGGGAATAGTACCATTGAGATTGTTAACCGCAAGGTTTAAGAACTGGAGCTTTGTTAACCTTCCAATCTCGGTCGGTATAGAATTTACAAAATGGTTCCAACCGAGATCCAAGAAAACTAGCCGGGAGAGGTTAGCAATAGCGTATGGAATTGAGCCAGTAAAGCTGTTGTTATAGAGGCTAAAGCGGGCGAGGTTTGGAAATGAAAAGAAATCAAAGCTTTTAAGTGTACCTGAGAGGTTTAAATTTTCCAGCTTTATCTCATTAACTGCTCCAGCATTAGTGCAGTTGATGCCTGTCCAGTTCCAGCAAACGTTGTCAAGATTAGCAGTTGACCATGAACGAAGAACATCATCGGTATTGGATAAGGTGTTCTTCCACTCGACAAGGGCTCTTCCCTGTGTTCTTTCTGATGATGCCGTCTCCCAAGGTAGTGAAAAGAGAAGAATAATATGAAGAAGAAAACATATTGTTCTTGGCGAAGAGGTCATCATTATCTTTGTTGTTTCTTGTTGGACGATAATGTTGTTGTTTGGGAGTGGTTTCAATAGCAATTTATACAAGTGGGAGTGGATGATTACTGGCAATATTTGTTATACCATGGTTCAATTCCAGTCCAAAATAACATTCAAATATAATAAATTATGTAATTACTATACTACTACAATTAACATATTATGGTGATTAATAAGTTATATATCTATTATAACAATTATGTACTTATTACATATTATGGTGATTAATTATGTTCGTCAACTATTGTATAGTGTGATGAAATCTCTGTTATTATTATATATAAATGGGTGATGTCAAGAAAATATATAACTAAATTATAAGTGTTTCAAAAAACATATTATATATCTGAATATGATTTTGAACAAGGGTCTATAATTCAAAATGGGTCCCCGTCCATTATGATATAATTTGCTTGATTACTAAGTATTTATATATGAATTCATCCTGCCGGCCTTAACAGTTCAACACTTCAAGTCAATGCACATTCTTGCAGGCCGTGCACTGTAAATGAAATACGAAAGTGCAATATATGCTGAAAGTATATATATAATTCTGCCATAAAAAATTTAAGTCTTCTGGGCAATCTTTATACGATGGACCAGGGTTCACACTATATTGTGGACCCTGGTTCATGTCTATGTGTTTTGAGTTGTGATATTTTGTATCTTGTATTATGAAATTCTGTACATTAAGAATATGAATTTTGTATCTGGAACGTAACAACAAATTAGTAATTGTGTGTTACGTTATAAATTTCTCTATCTTGTGTTGTAAAATTTTGTGCCTATGAACAAAAATTGTGTACCTAAATCAAATTTGAAAATTAAGTAAATATATAACATGTGTATGTGTCTTGTATTATGGAATTCTGTACCTTACGAGTATGAATTATGTATCTCGCCATTTCAATCCAAGGCTCGTAATACTATGTGGACCTGATCCATGATATAAATTGCCTGCTTGGGAATAATTCTTAGTGTTGGGAAATAATATTTGTGGCCTCAAATCCATGCAGAATTAGTCTTCCACAAAATGTTGTCCACGTCCATGTAACATATTATGTCTCCTCCACGTAGCAGCATTCTCCCTTTCTTTCATGCGCAAATGTCTCTTAATTTTTAGTATAAATAGGCTAAGCTTTGCTTTGTAAAATGCATCAATTTGAATTCTTTCCTTCTTTATCTTTTAGCTATCTCACGTGAATATATATATATATATATATATATATATATATATATATATATATATATATATATATATATATATATATATTTGATTTATATTCTCTTTAAGAGATTAATATATATATATATATATATATATATATATATATATATATATACTTATATTTTCTCATTGTTCGTTATTCATATGTCACTTATATAATTTTTCTTATTCTATTATTTAACTTCTATAATTCTCAATTTTCGATTCTTCGCTTCCGCATTATTCCGTTATATTCCTAACAAGTGGTATCAAATTCCTAACAAGTGGTATCAAAGCGGTTTATTTGAGAATTATTTTCAAAGATGTCGACTGTTACTAAGTTCGATATCGAGAAGTTCGACGGGAAAATTAGCTTCTCTATCTGGAAGGTTCAGATGGAAGCCGTTCTAACCCAGAACGGTTTGAAGAAAGCGCTAGCTGGGAAGAAGAAGAAACCAGCTACAATGACAGATGAAACTTGGGAAGATTTGGATGACAAGGCACGTTCAACCATTCTTTTGTGCCTGTCTAAAGAGGTTCTACGTGAGGTAGTAAGTGAGACGACTGCGTCAGATTTATGGTCCAAGCTGGATATACTATACATGGCCAAAACTCTGGCGAACACGCTGCGCCTGAAGGAGCGTCTGTACACAATCCGTATGACGGAAGGTACTTCTATTAAATCTCACTTGGATGAATTCAATTCTATTTTATTGGATTTGGAAAATATTGATGTCATAATTGAAGATGAGGATCGTGCTGTTTTATTGCTTGTCTCTCTCCCTAAATCATACAAGCATTTCAAAGAAATTATGCTGTATGGTAATAGTAGTGATACCCTTACTTTCGACAATGTTAAGTCAAACCTATTGTCGAAAGAAAAGTTTGACTTTGAAATTAAGTATGAGGACAAAGGTGAAGGCTTAACTGTAAGGGGTCGTTCACTTGAATCAGGGAGTAGCAATAAAAATTCTAGTTCCAAGTCCAAAGGACGTAAGTCCAACAAATCCTGTAAGTACTGCAAGAAGCAGGGTCACGATGTGACTGAATGCTTCAAGTTGAAGAACAAGCAAGATAGAGAAAAGAAGTCCGCTGAAGCTAGTGTTGTTGAAAGTGATTCAGAAGACGATGTTTTGTTATCTGTTAGCTCCGGTTGCAAACGTAGCGAAACCGAGTGGATTCTGGACTCTGGTTGTACATTCCACATGTGTCCTCACAAAGACTGGTTCGTCTCTCTGGAACCGGTTGATGGTGGAGTTGTCTTGTTGGGTAATGATACCCAATGCAAGGTTAGTGGAATTGGAAGTGTTCAGATTAAAACTCATGATAACGTTGTCAGGACTCTTACCAATGTTCGGTATATTCATGATTTGAAACGCAATCTGATATCATTGGGCACCTTGGAATCTCTGGGGTGCAAGTACACAGCTGAAGGTGGAGTTTTGAAGGTCATAAAAGGCTCTGTTGTTCTCATGAAAGCTTCTCGTTCTGGAAGCGTGTACGTCTTGCATGGCAGTACTGTGACGGGTTCAGTAGCGGTATCCTCATCGATGTCTGATGCGGATCTCACTCAATTATGGCATATGCGTCTGGGGCATATGAGTGAGAAAGGCATGCATCTCCTGAGCAAGAAAGGTCTCCTTGGTGGTTCAGGTACGAGTAAATTACAATTTTGTGAGCATTGTATTTTTGGGAAACAAAGAGGGTTAGTTTCTCTACTGCTACACACCGTACCAAAGATGTATTGGAATACATACATTCTGATTTATGGGGACCAACTAAATTCCAGTCTATGGGAGGCTGTAGATATTTTATGTCTATTATTGATGACTTTTCCCGTAAGGTTTGGGTCTATTTCTTAAAACACAAAAATCAGGCTTTTCCTATTTTCAAAAAGTGGAAAATACTTGTTGAGACTCAGACAGGGAAAAAGGTCAAGAAGCTCAGGACAGACAATGGCTTGGAATTCTGTGAGTAAGATTTCAGTGACTTCTGTGCGGCAAATGGAATCGCCAGGCACAAGACCTTGCCTGGTAAACCCCAGCAAAATGGTGTTGCCAAACGTCTAAACAGGACTCTATTGGAAAGAGCTCGTTGTATGCTCTCTAATGCTGGGTTATGGAAACGGCGTGATTTTTGGGCCGAGGCCGTTTCTACTGCTTGCTATTTGGTAAATAGATCTCCACATTCATCCCTTGATTTCAAAATTTCAGAGGAAGTTTGGTCAGGTAATCCTGTTGATTACTCTATCTTAAGAGTTTTTGGATGTCCTGCTTATGCTCATTTCAGTACGGGTAAATTAAACCCGAGAGCTGTCAAATGCATTTTCCTTGGTTATGCCTCTGAGTCAAAAGGGTATCGCCTATGGTCTCCTGATTCTCAGAAAATCATTCTGAGTCGAGATATCACTTTTGACGAAAATGCACTACTTTCTTCTGGAAAAGCTCCCAGTACAGATGAGACGCAGAGTACTGGTGAGAAGGTGGAGTTTGAATTCAGGCCTATTGATAGTATTACTATCACGAATGGTAATACTAAAGATGATGCATCTACTAGCACCACACCTCTCGTCGAGCCACAATGAGAGTATTCCATTGCTATGGGTCGTCCTAGGAGGACAATTAAAAAACCTGCTAGGTACGCTAGTGACGATGAAACCAATATGGTTGCTTATACTCTTTCAGTCACACAGGAAGTTGATGGTGATCCATCCTGTTATTATGAGGCTCTTCCTGTTACTAAGTTCAAGCAGTGTTTGAGTTTAGTCGACTGTTCCAATTGTTAATCCCAATATGGATTTGATCCAAGGTGGAGATTGTTGGGAAATAATATTTGTGGCCTCAAATCCATGCAGAATTAGTCTTCCACAAAATGTTGTCCACGTCCATGTAACATATTATGTCTCCTCCACGTAGCAGCATTCTCCCTTTCTTTCATGCGCAAATGTCTCTTAATTTTTAGTATAAATAGGCTAAGCTTTGCTTTGTAAAATGCATCAATTTGAATTCTTTCCTTCTTTATCTTTTAGCTATCTCACGTGAATATATATATATATATATATATATATATATATACTTATATTTTCCCATTGTTCGTTATTCATATGTCACTTATATAATTTTTCTTATTCTATTATTTAACTTCTATAATTCTCAATTTTCGATTCTTCGCTTCAGCATTATTCCGCTATATTCCTAACACTTAGCTATTAGTTTCCTCATTCATCTTGTTTTTTTATTTTTTGTTTTTTGTTTTTTTATTTTTTGTTTTTAATGTAATTCTGGTTTTATTTTGTTCTACTTTGATGGAAATCAAACATTTATTAGTCTCCACGTGCAATGTCACTTTTCTTTTAGAGTAAATACCAGTGGGCATCCTCCGACTTTGGTGGCACTGCCACTTTTAGTCCTCACCTTTTAAATCAACCACTTCCAGTCCTCCTACTTTTTATTTCTAACCATCTATGGTCCTTCCGTTACACTTGGTCATCTAATGTCGTTTTCTCAAGGGCAATTAAGTCCGTTCTTGAAATTAAAATTAGTTGAAAATTAGGCATTTTAATGAATGCAAGGCGCGTAATTTCTTCCAAAAAAAAACTTAATACATTAATTATGAAATGACCGAATTGCCTTTGAGAAAATGACATTAGATGGCCAAATGTAACAAAAGGACCCTAGATGGTTAGAAACAAAAAGTAGGAGGACTGAAAGTGGTTGATTTAAAAGGTGAGGACTAAAAGTGGCAGTGCCACCAAAGTCGGAGGATGTCC